ATGCAATAGGTGTTTCTTTGCCTTGGATCAGCAGGGGAAACAATTGGACAGCCAGCATCAGCCCTCGGACACTTCAGAGTACAGCACTGTTATTGACATGTGTATCACTCCACTGGTGTGCATAGGCTGCTTTCCTACTCACAGCATTTTGCTAGCACTGGGACCACTGTTCTGTACAGAAATGTCAGTGCTAACTTCTCCCTTGTCCTGCATATGAAACATAAACTGAGGCACAAAACTGTTATCATTCCCCTCCACAAAGCAGCAGTTGGTGCAGCTTTCAGCATCGTACAATGGGGTTCTCCATTTGAACAAGCTTAGCTAGACAAAAATTTATTTATTTATATACAGAGAGAAAAACCCTTCCTATAAATATAAAAATATTTCACTGGAATTGAGGAAACTGTAGGAAAGGAATCATCACTTTGAAACTCCTCCAGAGTTCATACTTCCCAGAAAAGCCATCTCTTCACCCTATTAGTTTACTTCACTTAAACATACCCTTTTGCCAAATCCTTAATTGTAGAATTGTTAAAGTTGGAAAAGACTCTTGAATAGTATAAAAATAGAGGTATGTAGCTGCCTGACCAATTTTCAGATAACCCAAGAAGTGAATTACTCACAAGCAGGTAACAAAAAAGAAACAGCTTACCCTGCTCTGAAGATAAGAGTTCACTGGAAAATACCTTAAAAGAAACAGTCTCCAAGAAGAGATCCTTTCCTCTTGGCTGCCAGCCTGTAAATGAGGTTAGGGAGGTCATATAGGGGAATTGCTTGCACCTGTGTTTCCAGGGCTGGCTCCACCCCTTCACCAGGTGCTCAATCACTGGTTCAGGCTGGGACCTAACGGTTCCCATGCAACCATTAAAGGCCATCTACTCCGATCCCCTGCAGTGAGCAGGGACACCCACAGCTCCACCAGGTGCTCAGAGCCCGATCCAGCCTGACCTTGGGTGTCTTTAAGGACGGAGCACCCACCACCTCTTTGAACAACCTGTGCCAGTGCCTTACCACCCCCACAGTAAAAATGTTCTCCTTATATTCAACCTAAATGTCTTTTCTCTAACTATCCTATCACCACAGATTCTACTAAAGAGTCTGCTTCTTTCTTGTAGCTCCCCTAATCATCCCTGTATTTCAGCTGTACACCTTGATTTGAGGAGCCTGAATGCAAGACGATACTTTGGAGAACTGCAAGTCCAGAGTGCACCCAAGCCTGCAAAGTGCTGGAAGCCCCTCAGCTGAAACAGCAGCTATGGATGCCAATGTTCACACTGCAAGATTTTCTGCATTACAGAAATCTCTGAAGCAACACAGAGCAACTCAAGCAAAAGCAGATTCTACAAATCTTTGCTGTTAGCTGCTTTCCCAGAAAGCCCAGATGATGGCAGAAGATCCTATCCAAACTTCCAGCCTGGAACAGTTGAAAGTCATCAGTTCTGTTACAGACATTGCATGTGATACCATTTCTGTCTGACTTACCTCTACACCAAATCCTTGGGAGGCACCAGAGATGCCTGATGCAGAGTGGAAAGATTTTTTGTAGTTTCATTGACGTGGACACGAGAAAGTTCCTTGTTGATGCCAGTCTCCCACAGCAACTGCTGCCATGGTTATAAATCATTTATTGCCCCCCATTGGCAAGCAGCTGAATATAAAGAATGGGTTTACTATGTGCAGGAGAGCATAGCAAGCACACAAACCTGCTCCTCCCAAAACGTGCCAGCAGGCAGCAAAGTGCTGCAGGGGTTTTGTTGCAGGGCCTTTGGGAAGTCAGTGAAACAGCCGACTGACAAGTGCTCTCTCCTGCTGATGAAAGCAAGCAGCCCTCCGGCTTAGACACAGAAATTGAGGGGTCCTGAGTGCAAGGAGCTCAGAGACAAACTACTCTCACAAAGCCAGTGCAGAGCTTGATGGAAGTATTTTTTTTCAAGGACAAAATCTATGATTAATCCCTTAAGATATGCCTAAATAACTTATAGTGCTTGTTATCAAGCCAAGACATTTGAAATAACCTAGTTAAGCCCATCTCCGTGATTAGAAGAGCTTTGGATAGGCTCCAGGTCTGACAGTGACTTCATTCCCCCTCTTAGATAATGCGAGATCCACTCACACAAATCTCGTTTCCTCTCTCTCATCCCTCCCTGCAAAACAGCATTACGTCCTGCTGCCAGAACAGAAGCACAGAAAAGCACATAGGCTTTTCCTTAGAGAGAGACCCAGGCTCTCTTCCAAGCAGGATTTTCTTCATGATCTTATTGATCTTACAAGGAACCCACGCTCCAGGAGGGAGGCGGTGAGTGGCGTCTCAGACAGGAAGGGTACGGTTGCCTGGCGCCTAGGTGAAGTCATCCACTTGGAGCAAACTAGGAGGAATCATATTTCCTTACATCAGTCATACTGCTCTCTGAAGTAAAACTGAAGTTTCAAGCTAGCCCCGGTTCATTAACTCACAGCATATGGGACTTCCCCACAGCCCACCTCCTGGATGGTTCCTCAAGGTCCCACAGCAGTGAGGCCAGACACACATGCAAGGAAACTACTTGCAGTGACCTCTCCCCAAGCCCCTCCTTATAGAGGACAAGGAACCAGCATCCCAAAGGCTGATCCCACGGATTAGTCCCCTGGAGATGGAATCTGTGTTAATAGCCTTAAGTGAAACTTATCTATAAGGCCATACACCCTATCTCAGTAGCAGCTCTTACTCCAGTACCACACCGCAGAGAAATGCTGCAATATTTAGCAAGGGAGGCAACAAGAACCTTCAGCACAAACCCTTGGCATAGTAGGAAGTTCCCCTGGAAGCAGAACCGTAATAAGAGAGGATATTGTGACTGACACTGTCTCACAGCAGGATGCATTCAGCAGTGCTAAGACGATGCCATCCTCAGTGCCACACTTCACAGGTTGTTCTTGATAGCCAAGGTACGTACCTTTTGTGAAGCTACTGTGACACCCTCTGGTCAGCTGTGGTATCACTCTTTACCGCAGATGTCATTTACTGCAGCAATCTGGAAATTAGGCCATCATCACGTAAAAACAGCAAAGCAGTACCCCTCACATCTGCAGAGGTGCCCGGAGGATCGTTAAGTACACACCTATAAATGGAACACAATACACATTTGGCATATAAAAGCAATATACGTCAGTTTCCATCTCATGGACTTGCTGACTGTTTAACCGCTGAGGCTTGCACTGAACACATCGTGGACATTATACCACCTAAACTCCACTGCTCAGAACAAGCAGCTGGTCTACCTCCTGACTCCCTTCATTCATACAAACACCAGCATCAGAGCTGAAAGGCAGGGCTACTCACTCAGTTCCCAACCCCTTCCTCCAGATGATGTTGCATCTTTGAAAAACAAATACATGAATGCTTAGTCTATCAGCTGGCTGATGCTTCACGCAGACACAAAAGCAGTTCTAAAGGTTAGAAATTGCACAGAACAGTCAGTTATCAACTCAGGTGCAGGTAATTTTTGCAAGGACCCCAGTTGCTTGCAGTTGGCACATCCAGTTTCAGGATAGCTGCTTGAAGATGATGCAAGTAAAGGCTCACAGGATACAGCACGACCTGGCTGCCAACACCAGAAAAGAGCAGAACTCAGACCCATTCTACCAGCTTGCTGAACCAGGCTCACAGAATCTGTGTTGAGAAGTCACAGATTTTCCCTTCCTCTTCCTGCTGCCGGGTTCTTCCACGGTTCCTCTCCTGCAACAGGCTTCTGTTGTGCTGAAATAATGGACACAGGTAACGCCCACCTTGACTGCAACACAGACTCACAATCCAACGAAGTACCCAGCCCACTGCTTGACCCAAACCCACAGTGCTGTTTTGCCCTCTAGAAAGGCTGAGACACAGCTGCGTAGGACATTGTACAACTGAAACACAGGTGCTGCTCTTGTTACTCCACACCCCAAGAGCTCAGCAGGTCAGCACTCACCAGAGATTCACCAGACTGTCATTCACATTCCTCTTTCACCAGATTCAAAGCCAGCCTGTCTACAGGAACATCAGTACTGCTTGAAAAGCTACACATCAGATTAGCCTATGACACAATCCACTGTTTCTCCAGACAACACTGCAGCCCCAGTGCAACAAGGAGCTAAGAAACCAGTTACAGATACTTTGCTTTGTAACCTATGAGGTTGCCTTCCTCTTCCACAAGAGATCTGGTTTGCACAAACAGGGCATTTCATCCTTCACCACCATCCTTAGGTATCTAAGGGCTCTTTCAACAAAACCACAGGACAGGTTATTTGGTAAAGGAGATGTATATTTATTCACTTTACAAAGAGGGCAGCATTTAGTTGCAACAGCTCCATTTATAGACAAATATATTGTACATTATAGTGGTGAATGGCTCAGACCTTTACCATGTTTTGCTCTTAAAAATGTGTTTGTACCTCTTCAGCTTCCATTAGCTGAGCAATCAGTTGTCCTTGCTCTGCCACTGAGGTTAAAAATTGATAATAAACAGATAGCTGTGCGCTACGTATTCACAAGTATCCACCTTCTCATTTCCCTGTGTTACTCCCCTCTCCCCACCCACCTCAGTCTATCCTCTGGGTTAGCATTAATCTTATATACAGCCTCAATTAAAATGAAATTAGGGAACAGTGATAGTTCTAATGTCTTTTTAAAGCACAAGAAAAATCATTGATTCTACATATAAAAGTCTCAAGTTCAAATTTGTTTTTTTTTTTTTAAAAAAAAAAAAAAGAAAAAGCTTTTTTTAAGCCACGTTGGCATTTAGACATTGCCAAGGCATGGCTGAACCAATGGAGGATGGGAGGAAAGAAAGGAAATCCATTGGAGAAGTTAAATGTTACAAAAATAACTTTTTTTCCTTTTTTTTTTTTTTCCTGGAAAACAACAACAAAAAAAAAGCAGCAGGATGCCCACTTGCTATTGCTAACTGAAGCATGGAAAGAAGGTATAGATCAGCTGTCTTTGATCCTTGAACATTTGAAACAAATTCAGTGTAAAGCTGAACCAAGTTTACCACACAAACAGCGGTGGCAGATTTATTTCACTTGAGATACAAATGCATGTCCACATGACAGGCATAATCTGACCATGAGAGGTGGAAGAAATGTTTCTATAGTAAGCGCAGGGAAATAGGGCAAGAGAAGGCTGGCGTGGTTAAACATTCTGGATTCAGAAATGCACAGTGCCCCACACGTGCCCCTGCACATAGGCTGCGCATGAGTCTGCACTCCCTATATGCAAATATGGCATCTTTCAGCAAGATGATCCAGAATTAGAAAGTTCTGGTGGCCCACTTCTTTCAACTGTTAAGTTTATTCTTTTATGCCGTTATTCTTCTTCACTTTCGTTTTCTGGTTCCAAATCAGAATCACCATTAACTTCCTTTTCAACAGTCATGTCTTGTTCATCTGATTGCTCCTCTTTCTCTTCATCTTCATCCCAGTTTTCCTGGAGGGTTGAACAAAACAGGAATGTTTGAATCTTTGACATTAACACAACTTCTGTGACAAATGACTGGGAGAAGATTCAATCCAACTCCACTTACATCTGAGTCTTTATCCGCAATCATCTCATCATCTGAACCTTCCTCCTCTGAGGATTCTGCAAAAGAAAACAATCCCTCAGTCTGGACAACAGACTTGAATGTGTTCAAACAAAACTCAACTCCACATGCTGCTAAACCTCCACTAAACTGTGCTATTTAAATTCCAAAACTCATTCCACATGAAGACTAGGTTGACCAACAAATTAGCAACTAGTCACTTTGCTATGAGTATACATTTGTAGTAGAAACTGCAGGCCCAAATGAAGTATATATGCACACACTGCTGTGAAGTCTCACTGACTCAAATGTAGCAGCTCCTTGACTGCATCTACCTCAGCGTAAGGGCAGTTAGCACTAGAAATCCGATGTCATCAGTTAAGTACTTCAAGATCTTTCAATTAATTGATTCGTTAATTTGTGACTCAGGAATCACAGAATCACCAAGGCTGGAAAAGACCTCCTCCAAGATCATCCAGTCCAGCTGTCCACCTATCGCCAATACTTCCCACTAAACCATCGTCTCAGTACAACATGCACACATTTTTGAACACCTCCACGGTTGGTGACTGCAGCCCCTCCTTGAGCCCATTCCAGTGCCTGACAACTCTTTTAGAGAACAAATGTTTCTTAACATCCAATCAAAGTCTCCCCTGGTGCAACTTGAGGCCGTTCCCTTTTGTCCTATCACTGTTACATGGGAGAGGAGGCCAACCACCACTGTGCCACAACCTCCCTTCAGACAGTTGTAGAGAGCAGTTAAGATCTCCCCTGAGCCTCTTCTTCTAAATAATAATTAAATAACCCCAGATCCATCAGCCACTCCCCATAAAACTTGCGCTCCAGACCCTCCACAGCTTTGCTGCCCTTTTAACAACCTTTTCCTCTTCCACCAAGCGGGTCACTTGATCATAGGAGATGAGGTTGGTCAAGCAGGACCTGTCTTTCGTGAATCCATGCTGGCTAGGCCTGATACTCCAGATTTCCCACAGATGCTGTGTAATCTCTCTCACAACGATCTGTTCCATAACCTTCCCTGGCACTGAGGTTAGGCTGACAGGCCTGTAGCTCCCCAGAACCTCGTTACAACCATTTTTGTAGATAGGAGTCATGCTGGCAAGCCTCCAATCCTCTGGGAACTCTCCAGTTATCAGGAACACCGAAAGATGATGGAAAGTGGCTTGGCTGTCACCTCTACTAGCTCCCTCAGCAACCTCGGGTAGATCCCACCTGACCACGGACTTGTGGCAGTTCAGGTAGAGTAGTAAATCTCTTTGACTGTTTCCATCTGAATTCTGAGGGGGTTTATTCTCCTCCCCATCCAAGACTTCCAGGTCAGGAGGTAGAGTTCCCTGATGAGAACTGGTCTGACTATTAAAGACAGATGCAAAGAAGGCACTGAGAACCTCAGCCTTTGTCAAATTCCCTGCCACATCAGAAAAGGATGGAGGTTCTCCTTAGCCCTCCTCTTACTGTTAATACATATTTGTAAAGAAGTTTTCTGTTCTTTTTTTTACCTCAACAGCCAAGTTGAGTTCAAGTTGGGCTTTTGCCTTTCTAATATTCTCCCTACACACTCTAACAACTTCTTTGTACTCCCCGAGCTGGCAGTCCATTCTTCCACAGGAGGCAGATTTTCTCCTGGAGCCTCAGGAAAAGCTCCCTGGTCATCCATGCTGGTCATCTTCCCTGCTGTCTCATCTTGTGGCACAGGGAGACAGCTTGCTCCTGTGCCTTTAAGACTTCCTTCTTGAGGAGAGATCAGACTTCTGGGACCCTTTTACCCTTCAGTACTGAATCCCAAGGGAAGACCCCACCAGGGTCCCAAACAGTTCAAAGTTTGCCCGCCAGAAGTCTGAGGTTTTGCTGGCCTCCCTCTGACTTCACCAAAAAATAGAAGGGAAGGAAACCAAAGGAGGGGAAGAAAGACAAAATGAACTGTAAGATGCTTACATGATTAATCACTCACTTGCCTGCCATACATTTCCCACAAAACCTCCCTGCTTGGAGACTGTCCACTACCAGTATCACAGTAGCAAGATGAACAGCCACCACTTGTGAGCTGTCACAAAAGTTCTGGAGTTGAGCTACATCTAGCACACAGCACTTACCATCCTCATATACCAGCTTTGCAGTCCGATTAATCTCCATCACATCCTGAACTGCTTCCGATGCTGCAACCTGAACAGAATTTGCAGATTAGCCTTACGTGGAACCACATATTCCGCAAACTTCGAGTCACGACGACTCTCAACAACATAAATGAAATCTACACAGAGGTTAACATGCATTCATTTATTATTGTAGTTTAACAGCCGCATAAATAGAAAGGACAAAGTAAAATTTCAGAGGCATTTGCTTTAAAGCAGCCCAATACCTCCCATTTATTCCCATTTAAAATGCTATGTGTTAGTACACTCATCTGGCAGGACAGACTGTGCAACACTTTCTGTGAGCATGGACTGACCAGACAGCTGCAGTGCTTTGAGTATTACCACTATAGCCGTACAGCAGCTGCACTGAGTTCCTGATGACAGGTCCCACTGGATGCTCTCACAACAGAAGGCTAAGCCTGCAAATAACACTTCTACATATCCTGTGCTCTTCAGCTGAACTTACCTGGGTGACAAGAAGGAAAAGCCTTCCATGTAGACGGGAAAGCTTCTGCAGAGTTTTTACTCTGCTCTCCATTAACTGGTATAGCATTCCCAGCTGAGGAATGAGGTCTGGCAACTTACGAGAAAAAATGGATGAATTAAAACAAAGCTGTTACCCAATACATAACCTGTATCTTACTTTTGTATTTTTAAACTATCCTTACGCATTTGTGACAAACAATCCTTGCTGACATCACTGTGGTCAGAAGGAATTGCTGAAGATTCACAGAAATCACCTGCAACCCAACCAGTTAATACATAGGCTTGTCTAGAACCATAACCCCTTCTACTTACACTACTTTTTCCTTCCACATTTCCTAATAGCATATTTAGGAGGACTTCTTGGAAAGCAGTGTGAATGGAAACTGAATACATTCCAGTACACAAACCCAGTACTAGCAATGCATACAAGTTTTGACACAACTGTAACAAAAGGGAGATCCCCAGGAATATAAAAGACTAACAGTGTCACAATACATTTGTTTGCTTTGTAAACTGAGCTAGAGTGCATTATCCAGGGAAGGCTGGATTTCCACCCAGAAGCTACTACATTGCCTGCTACTCTGCTACTCCATCAACTTTGTCATACCTTTACCCTATATATCCAGTCATACTCAGTACAGAAATTTAGTTCTGTAAGTGTTAATGACAACAGCTAGATCATGTTTGACAATTATTTGGCTCTTTCCCGTGACATAACTGGTTTGGGCTTGACTTTGGGATGCTATTATTATGTTTATCTTGGTAATCCATGACAATCTGTAACAAATATCCATCAATTCAGCAAAACGGTGAAGTACAACCCTCTGTACATTGGTTTGAGCATGTACCATACCATGGTACATACTCTCATACCATGCACAGCAAGAGACAGATTCCTGAAGGAAGAATATACGTACATTTAAGCACTTAAGTCTAGTTTCAGCCATATGCATTAACTTTAATGCAAAATACTTACCGTGGAAAGGTAGGATGCATGTAGAGTAAAAACAAACTTCAGCCATCGAACCATTTGTGAGGCACTGCAAATGATATCATAGATAGTGAGATGCTGGCTGACAACACACATTTCACTTTCTAGTTGCTAAGCTGTTCTACAAGAAGCACTTGACTTTCATTACATAAAAATGCAGTAGGAAATAAAATAATTTGGCTATCTAGATGAGATACCCAAGTAAGAGATACTTACTGGGAAAAGAACTGACATTTAAAGAGAAAGATGAGAAGTACACACGCTCAGGGATCTGTTTCTCATGGTTTTTCATTGGAGATTTCAATGAAGATCAAACTAATGCTACTTCTTTCTTCTTCTACAATTTTCTTTTTGTTGTTTTTTTTTTTAATCCAGCTGCAGACATCTAGTCACAGCAAAGCTATTGCTGTAGCAATATAGCAGGATTGGCAGGTGCAGGAAGAGCTGTGTGTTCTTCTTAAATACAAGCTACACATCTTAAAGTGATCTGAGTTGACATACTGATCATGTCTGAGCTGTCTGCTACTTCAGATACATGCTCACTTCAAGTATCCCTTCCCCTTTTTAATTTCACTTATGTCAGCACAAAACAGCACAGTCTTAATAAAAGTTCACCTTTGCACCCACAATCAGGTTACCTCAGGATTCTATTAACATAACTGTTCATTACAATTACTATGGAAGCTTCACACGGAAGCACAGGCCATAAAACACAGAATAGATGTTTTCAGATAAGTTGAACTGTGGGCAACTCGCTTCTTACCTGTATGGGTTGCCTTGCAATCTCTTTGTAAGCTAGAGAAACAAGAACAGTAACAATTAAAAGCAAGAAATGCATGATGAGCTTAAAGCTCATCCACATGACAGCCCAATATTTGGGTAGAAAGACTAGTGCCAGAAGAATAGATTTTGAGGCCAGCAGATTAAAGTGCAAGAGAAATATAACCGTGACTAGCACTGCTATTTCCCAATTTCAAATTATCAGCTACTTTAATAATATTAAATAAGTAACGTGTTGTTGGTTGGTTGTATTTTTCTGCCACAGACTGAACAAGCTTTAGCTTAACCTCTTCCTTTTTTCCTGCTTACTCATTTAAGATAGCACCACATGACCTATGGCTTTTCCTAGCTTTGACAATGGCACTTTGTCCTTTGGTTAAGCTTCAGCCAGATGAGGTAAGAGTAAGACAGAAATAAACTACAAATAAGTTCAGTATTGTAAAACTACTAAATCAATATCATTTGACTTGATTTATTCATTGAAATTGAGAGACCCATCCATAATTTTCCCCAGCTAAAAGGCAAGCCAAATGTGGTTTGTATGACAGGTACATGAAATGCAATCTCTCCTACCTCATGCAGCAGTGGAATGACAGCGTGTATAGGCATTCTGGCTACTGTGTTCTTTATTAAAGTTTCCTTTCTTGTGGAAAGCACTTTCTGTTAAAATGGAAAAATAAATCAGATGATCATTCAGCTTTAACACATGTGGGAACAAAAATGAAAAATTCCTGGGTTCAAACCTTTTTCTACTCCGCTACCTCTATATGCTCAGATGAGGGTAACATATAAAATAAAATTCACAATGCAAAGGAGTTCCATTTTTCAAGTCAGCTACAATTAACAGAATAAACACTTGATTAACCTGTCTAAAACAGTCAGCCATCGCCCCTAGTCCACCCATCTCATGTTAGAAACAAAGTATAACAGCCATATTAACAAGAACTTCCCTTGCTATTTTTCTATTCCCATGCTTCACTTCTGTAAATACAATGCCTTTCACCTGCACTGGTGACAAGTAATTTCTACTCAGTGACAAATCCTTAAGAGATTTCCTTTTCCTGCCCCAGAAGTATAAAATCCTCCTAATCCAAGTGCAGCAACAAGCTTTTCAGGTCAAACTGTGGTCATAGATGCATTTTTCAAACACCTACTTGGAAACTGTACCCTCTAGACTGAGCACAGATTGTTCTCTAGCTGAAACTAAAAGGGAGATGGTGCACTAGTAACATGACTTGTAAAATATCTGAACTCTCACACAACAAACTTACCATAAACAGAATTGCTACAAAGTTCATGTGATGTCTCAGAAAAAGTAGCTAGCATTAAAATACCACTACCACCATTTATAATACCTGTGCCTTACCAGCACATCAGCAAAAAGCAGCCAGGAGTAACAACAGGACCTCGACTGCTCAGCTTCCACAGCAGCTCCCCACAAATCTCAACAAACAGTTTAAACAGCATACAGTGATCCTGCAACACTTACATTCAAGATGTCTTCATCATTGCTTTCCAAGCCCTGAACCAAAAGCACTGCAAAGCTATCTGTTTGTGGAAGGCCACCTGGAGTTTTTACTTTGCTCACATCAATATCCAACGCCCCTAGGCGTTCCTCAATGCTGTCCTGCAGACAAAGAAATAAGAACAGTGTTTCATGGCCATTTCTTAGAAATATCAGCTGAAAGTAAAGTAGCTAATATATACCATTCCCTCCCATCCTGCTGGAAAATACCATACTGAGAGGATAGCTGGAAAAAGAGAAGATGAAGTTTTAACTAAGAAGCAGTAATGTGTCTTAGCACATAGAGACAGGCAAGTGTGTAACAAAGTTCTGCAGTAACAGGCAGATTTGTGGGCAATGTTGTCAGGGCTTCAGTGAGAGTAAGGTTTTGACCAAAGGGAAACCCATTTCCTACAAGACAGTATGATTCACTTTGCCCTCATGCAAACAACAAAGGCAAACAACTCAAGTTCAAATATACCTAAAGAAGCTGCAATGATCATTTATGGTTGCTTTTCAAATGACTGGTGGGTTTAAATGAGGAAGCACTTTACCTCTGTCTCTCCTGGTTTCCTTTTGCTTTTCTTTTTCTCCTTTCCTGAGGACGGAGTTTTAACAGCTGCACTGTGCCCTGGAATGCCAGGCACTAGAACTTTGGTGTCCGAGTTCACAACTGGTGTCTTTACCTGGCAGAAAGACAGAAACACATCAGAATGAATTGCTAATATCTCAATTTTCCTTCCAGTTTTAAATACTGATTTTATTTCGAGATCCTCACATATGTTAAAAGCAGCCTGCCACAACCTATTGGGAAATGCTACATGCTACTTCCAGAACACTTCTTTCATAACAGCAGTTCAGTGTCCTTTTGAAGTACCCACCCAGCCCTGTGTACATTATGGGAGCCATGCTGAGTGCCCACTAAAGTGATACAAATACATATACTGCAGTGAGCATTGCAACTTCCAGATGATGTGCACACAAGTCATATTTCACAAATAAAAAACTGATTTCATGGTTCAAGAACTTTACTGGAGAAAAATAATAAAATTAAAATACTACTCACTTCGCTCAATACACAAATCATCACTTTTCTCTCCACAAGGCATGCTCAGACAGCCAAGAGAAATGAGTCTTCACTGGAATTCAGCAAAAAGCGAAACCAAGATGGAGATCATCACTGCATGCCAGGGAGCTCCCACATCTCTCACTGCATCTCAGCTCTGTTACCCTGCAGCTCCAGGACCAGGGAATTAGCACAAAGCTCCACCAGGCTGATGGAGCACCAGAACTGGTAGCTAACCTGAGGGTTAGAAAACCAATGCTGTCTGCTCTCTATACCAATGTTGTCAGCTGTGACACGAGCTACAGGAAGGTAATCAAGGGAAGGCCTATCAGTGCACACAGCAGCCAAGGGCTGTGGGTCTCTGAAACTACACTGCAGCTCTAAGCATGTTCATTCAGAAATCCAAATTTATTTTAGAAGACAGCAGAGAATTCTAGAATTTTCTAAGTAAATCAAGAGATGCAAGACAATTGTATTTCAAACGAGCTCACCTTTGTTACAGCATCATCTGTTTTAAGCGCCAACACTTTCTGGACGTCCCTTATCAAACATATGTGGGATTCGTTGGTGTTCAAAGACTGGAAAGAGAGGAATAAAAACAGTGAACTGACAATGAATCACAGTGGTGATTCATAAAACTACTGTGTTCATTAGAACAAACCAAAGGTATAAACAAGAATGAGCTCCTTATCCTCCCCTAGCGTAGCAGTTGCTTTGCACATCTGCCTTTTGTTACCAGATCCCTGTGCTCTGCAGAGAAGCTCACACAGGCAAATTGAAAGTTTTAGAAAGTTTCATTGGCCTTATGTATTAACAGCTGAGGCAGCATGAAACAGCCAGCAATAATGCCAAGTCACACTTCAGCTGAATGAGCAGAATACACATCCCCTTTCTAAACAACACAAGGGCAGTAGTCATAACTCCCAGAGAAGGGAGAAAGAGTAAGTTCCATCTCACGCTGCAATTCCAAAAAAGTATGAAATCCAAAACCTTTCCAATATGTTTTACGTACCACTTTCTCTATGATGGGCTGTAAGGTGTTTCCATACACAAGCAGCAGAGACTGTTTGTCTGTGCAAAATGCAGCTGCTAGAATAGGGACTGGTTTTGGCGTGGAGTCTCCATCATTTCCAGGTGTTGCTATCTGGATAGTACAGTTTGATGTTAAAGGTTTTTTGCAGTAGCTGAGGGAAAAGGAAAAAAAAAAAAAAAAAGGAAAGGAAAACAACAACATGTTTAGCTTAAAGACTTCCATATCTTGCACAAGTATGCACTCTTCATTATCAAATCCTTAAACTCTACTAGTTTACATCCTTTACAGATAGTTTAAATGAGATTAAATCAGGCAAAATCTTGGCTAAAGCAACAAAGCACAGCATAACCCCCAACAAATAAGCTCCCCTGCATTTCTTGAAACACGTCAAGTAACCCAAGACAAAGAGTCAGTTGGAATTCAATTTGTGAACAGATGAGTTCAAAGGCAGCAGCACAACAAAATGAGCTTTGCCTCCCAGTAATCCCAGACCTTGCCATATATACTCTCAGAAGAAATGCCTCCTTACCCATTTAAGATGTGTTCAAATAAATGCAACTGCCCATCTCTGCAAACAACTGCTAACTTCACAGGCTGAAAGAAGTCACAATAGAAGATTCTGATTAGACCAAACGACAGACACCCGCAGGTACGAAACATCAAGAGACATGTGCAGGTTACAATTTGACTCTACAGCAACTACATTAGAGATACAACTAAATCCATACAATTAGATCAGACACACATCTCAGGAACTCTTACAGCAGTTAGAAAACAAAAACATAATTCAAATCTGCGCTTTACTGTATCAATATTGAAATATTCAAACCTGAATTGACTACTAGCAGACATGAGTATAAGCAGCAGTGTTCCAAAAATATACTACCCAAGGTGTCTGGATGCACTGAACTACACAGGCACTACACACTAAATACGTTCACAGGAAAGAAACTAAAACAGAGTACAAAGTGCAGTTAAATTCCAGGTGCACATCACAGAATATTCCCAGCTCCTACACATGCAGTGAAAGGGCACAAATGGAAACGCTAGGAGTTCTAGCATGAAATACTCTTTTTATAAAGGAATCTAAAGGCAGTTGGGGAAAAAAATGTTTTAAGTAACTACAGAAATGATTTGTGAACATTTCATACGCAGACACTTTTCGTAAGACAACTATTCTGAAACTTCTTGCTGAAAGAGACTTGAGGAATGTGCTCAGCTACATAAATTCATAAAGGCTAGTTAATTCCAAACACAGTTATACTACCATAGCCATCTGAGAATAGACAAAAAAACAGAGTAATGCTCAAATTGTATTTCAGAAAGAAATCTTCACTGGTTTTTACTATTGAAGTCTAAGAAACATTTTGATTACTAACTTGTTCCAAATAGGAAACAAATTATGTTTCTGCCATCACAAGCAAAATTTTTGAAGGAAACATGGAATTTGCACTTGGTAGCTATGAAAATAATTGTTTCAAACTGCTAGCTACACAAATGCACCTACAATAAATATCCTCACACTACTGAACTTGCATTCAAATCTCATCTTTGCGTAACAGAAACCAAATACAAACAAATTTATTATTTTTTTTAATGCCCTAAAAGGAACTTGGTGTGAAACTGTTGGACATATCTGGTTACAAACTACTGCTCCTACCTCTTCTTTGAGTTCTGACACGGTCAGGTCAATAAACGTTGGTTCATCTGTTACCGTGAAAGACATCACAGCATTCTTTTCTTTCCTATCTGATCTGATCTGCCTGGAGACACAAACAGCACACATTATTTAACAGGGCACAAACAGCATCCTCCACATCTGAAAAGCAGCACAGTGTTATAGAGCCTACAAATCATGCTCTACTATTGTCACTATCACAGTACTGCACACCTCAGCCAAAAATACTGATGTCATAATCGCAGCTTTCAGCTTTAAAAGGTGTTCAAATTTCAAATGCAAAGTAGCCACCAAGCAGAATTCAGCAAAGAAGAAAACAAACTTCACAGCAAACACAAAGAACAAGAAGCATACCACGCACTGCATTCCTAGCATATGCTGGGAAGTCAAGTGGCAGCTACTGGAAACACGCTCAGACACAGCCAAGGAAATTTAGGTCTTCATTCAACAATCAGTGAATTGAAACCACTACTTAAGAGATCATCACTGCATTTTTCCAGAGCGCCTCTTCTGCTTCATCAGAGTTCAGAACATAATTGTTCAGTCTATCCTCAGTAACAGTCGTAATCAAAGTTAAAAATTAAGAGAAGTTCACATACCAAACGCTCAGTAACCGGTCATGTATAGCCCCAGACAAGAAATAAAGTCCTGTAATTCCATCAAAGGGTTTATTTTCATTCATAGGTCTCACTGTGGTAAACATTAATGATGACACTGATGTAGCATGGCCTGTGAAATGCTAAGAGAACGGGGGGGGGGAAGTTCAATTACTGCCATCATCAGCTATATGACAAAAACTGAAACATTAGTTAAGAAAGAATGTTAAGAAAGATCCAAAAATCAAAGTTAGCAAGAGTATTTCAGTGTTTTTTCTGTTTCTCTAACTGGTGATCAGATTCCTTACATTCCTACATGTCTCAAAAATGTTTCCTGACACTTCATCTACTTATCAGATTAATGGGGAATCAAAGGCAAAATTACTAAGCTCATGTGAAAGAAATCACACCTGCTTGTACTGCTGTTACTGTCAGAAAGCAGGTCACACTTCACAACAAAACTAGATTTACAGTTTAATCCTCAACTTGAAGATGATCACACAGGTCTGATGACACACTAAAGCTGTTGAACAAAATGAAATAAAATAAATCAACGCTTCAATTTTTATTTTCACAGTGATTTTGGTCAGTATAGGATGCAGGCACACACAGTAGTTGCCATGTGCCAGCAAGCCCATAGTAACACGTGTGCACACTCAGCTGACAGCAAACACCAGAAATCCAGACTTGCTGCTTCCTATCTGCTGTCATACAGTGGAACAGGACTGCATTTAAGGAACAGCCAAAACATGCTAAATTCCATGTGTCTGAGCCCTGCCCAGAGAACAACATTTTTGTCCCTCTGCCTTCCAATTGCTTCCACAGCAATACTGATAACACCTGTTACACAGAGTTTAGCTAAGAGACCTGAAGGCTTTAAAGAGGTACTCAGCACAAAGGCACAGGAGCTCTCACAAAAACACATCAGCAAGAACTAATAGTGCAGTGAACCAAGCTCCCCAGTAGAAAGGCTTCAGAAAGGGACACAGTGAAAGACAACAGCACCTATCCTTATGCTATGGGATCCAGAAAGGCTGCTGGCAGCATTCTCAGACACAGCCAAGGAATTCAACGTCCTCATTCAACTGTCAGGAAGTTGAAACCACAGTTGAAGGTATCATCACAGAAATAACTTCCAGCAGCCCCAAAGATGCCAGCTGTCTCCTTCCACCCTACCAAATTTTCAGATGTCCCATTAGGAAACACTAAATGCACAATGCCATTAATCAAGAAGAATATGTACATATATATATATATATATATATATATATATATATATATTATTTTTTGATGTCTAGTTGCACAAAGTTACTTACTCTGTAGACTTCTTTGGTCTCCAGGTCCCACAGTTTTATAGTTCTACCGGCTGACAGCAGCATTTTTCCATCTGGACTGATGCACAAAGAGCTGACACTGCTGTTGTCACCTTTCCACTTGCTAGAATTTGGATGGAGACACAGAAAAGACATTCATTAGCATAACTTCAAAATGCATGACAACTCTGCTGAATAATCTCAGGCAAAACATACTTCAAAAAAAAAGCTAAGTAGTCAAAAATTAGGTCAAAAATCATTCTGTTTCAGCTCCTCAATTTCAAATTAATTTCCTCAAAAATAAAGAAATAATTAAGACTAGTTTTTGTTCATTTTGCTTTGCTGTTGTTTAAAAAAATACGTATTTGCTTATCCTGTTCTCAATATCCCCCCCTCAAAGTTCTCTGCTACTCAGCATCAGGCAAGAAGAGCCACACCACTAAGACTTCTCTTGGAACCACAATCCACAAAGCTTGCATCAACTTATTCAGAATGGACTTTGGAGTTTTAAGGCCCACCCAGTTCCTGGCACTCCTCCTAAGCCTGTCAGTGACACTGACAATAATAACCTTGGCCTCAAAGGTTTAAGAACTCCACGGTTGAAAGCACTATCTAAGAAAAAGAAAGATGCTGTCACAGAAAGCTTGTGCCTGCCTAGAAAGAGTCTGAGTATTGCATATTTCTAAGAGGGCAAAATTACAAGGAAATCATTAACGCAAACCCTCTATACATAATAATCACGACCCAATCACCACGTTCTGATGGTGAACATCCCCTTCCTAAATACTTCCTGAGACCTTTCTTATGCCAAGCAGCACCTCTTCTGTCTTCTACAAGTGAGCTCATTTGCACCATCAGCTCTGCTAGATTTCGTAGAAGCTGCAAGTTTATTAGCTACAAACTTGACAAGCAGTATTATACCTTACACAGAGTATAACAAAATTCTGTATTCTCTTCCAAAGTGTAAGTCAGGACTAAGAATTTCAGATCCATATCCATTTAATGTAGCAAACCCAAGAAATTATATTCAAATGTACAACTAGATGGTCCTTAAGGTCTCTTCCAACCCAAGCCATTGCACGATTCTATGATTCCAATATCTTTTACCTCAGGCATGACTTGCAATACATGACTTCTGATGTGACTTCTGGTAAAAAGTCTGATATTACAATGTCAGCATACTTTTCATTTTTGCACTCCAACAATAATTTTTCACTGCCATGTTCAAAATTAGAGATCACAATGCCTCTAACAGGCAGTTCATTCATCAAATCTAGGAGTACTTCTTGGCATTTTCCTAAGCAACTACTGCTTTCTAACTGAAAACAAGGACTGCCACAAAGTATCCTTACAGCCAAACTTTGTGCAGCTTGTAGGTGGTGCTCTCCTCAATTCAATGGAGACCACTCACACAGGAGCAGGCACGTCCTGCTCACCAACACCTTATTGGCTCGTCTAACCACGGGACTCTTCCAGCTACAAGGACTGCTGAGGGGAGACAACATTCATCTTGCAAAGTGGGACAAGTGCAATTTTGTCCACAGGCTTGCTAACCTAGCAAAGAGGGAACTAACCTAGGATTGGTGTGAGACCAGAACAACAACCAGTCACAAAAGAAGCGGGGGTATACAGCAACACAGAGGGAAACACCCAGGGTGAAGAGCAGTAGGAGCAGCTCTCACATTTCACCAGACAACAGCATGGCTGGGATCCATCCCAAGTGGCTGTGCATGAACACATGCTCTATGAGAGACAAACAGGATGAGCTAGATATCCATGGGGAGCTTCGTAGTTTTGATCTTACTAGAGATCATAGAGAACCAGTGGGATAGTATGCAAGACAGGAATACTGTAGTTAATGGACTTTTAGGAAGGCTATTTAGTGAAGACATATCAGGAAGGTGCAAGGAAGAGGTGGTTTTCTCTACACATAAAGGTGGCTTTGAGTGCATGGAGCTTTGCTTTGAAACACGCCAAGAGCCAGAGAAGAACTTACAGGTATGTATTAGAAGAGGCCAACAAGGATGTGCTGGGCATCTGCTACAGAGCAAGTCAAACAGCAGAATTACAACTCTGGTCATCGTAAAAGCAGACTGCCACTTATTCAAGGAAATGATGGGCAATATTCCACTGGAGACTGCTATAAAGAGCAAAAGGTGCTCAGGAAAGCTGGTTGCTCTTCTAGGATAACCATCTTAAAGCACAAGAATGGCACACACCAACACGAAGAAAATCACCAGGTGTTGCCCTGGCATGCAGGAAAGCCAAAGTTCAGCTGGATGTTCACAGCAGCAGGAAATATGAAGGCCAACAAAAAGGAGATCGAAAGGCACATCAGCAGCAGTAAGGTTAGGATTGAGAAATGTGTGGGCCCAGTGCTGAATGGTGTAAGGATCTGTTCAGGACACAGAAAAAGCCACACCACAGAAGAGCAAGGACTGCTCTCAGGCCTCCCACATTCCCAAACCCAGCGCCAGAATCAGAGGGAGCAGAATATTATCCATAAAGATAGGTAAAGTCAGGGATCACAAGTTGGTCACACATGCAGCCTCTAAGATGGAATGGGATGCACCAAAAATATTTAAGTCGGTGATGTTGCAAGACCCCTCCATCATCCCTGATGAGTGCACTGCTCAGGAGAAATTTCTGTTGACTTGGAAAAACGACAAACCTATCTGCAAAAAGAATATAGGAAATGAGAGGAAATGTGTGATTATACACAGCAAATCCACCTGGTAAAGATTTCCAAACATACAAAGGTCAGAAAAGCAACTGGAAACAGCAATCACACTTAAAAAGAGAAAATCATCCCTAACCAACCTGCCTTTGATGATATACACTGTACACTATTTAAATTGAATTTAGCAGTGCTTCTGACAACATCTCACATTAGGCTATGTAATTCCAGTTTGGTTGCAAGGATACTAACTGAGTGGACTCCAAGGTAGGATAAGAACTGCGTGGAACACTGAGCTCAAACACCTGCAATCATTGCCATGAAATCCAGCTGATGGCCAGTTATTGGTGTCATTCCCCAAGGACATTCCAATTCCATTCAACCTCAGTGTTTGCTCAGGTCTTCATGAATGACTTTGAAAATATGACAGTATGCATCCACTAGCAAGTTCAGTGGCGTTAAGAAATTAGGGAGATCAGCTGATAAGTATGCTGGAGGGCAGAGCTGCTCATCTCAACAAGCTGGAGAAATAGGCAGTCAAATCTCCAAGATGAAAGGATTGGGTAAAGCATCTTCATGTGTGCCAGGAAAACAAAAATAAAAATCTCATACAGGCTGGATTCAAATGGCCAGAAAACATATTAGCAACAAAGGAGGTGGGGATCCTTACAGACAACTTTAACATGAGTTAGCAGTGAGTACTTGCAGCAGTGAGGTCAACCGCACACTGAGCTCTACTAGCTAGAACATGGCCAGTAGATCAAGGAAAACGATTCCCCTTTTCTGTGCAGCATTTCTGAAACTACACCTGAGCACTGCATCCTGTTTGGAGAAGCTACTGACACACTGCAGTCAATCCAATGAAGGATCACCAAGAAAGTTTGGAGGCTGGAGTGTGAGGAGGAAAGGGTGATGGAAACAGGTTCCTTCACACCCAAGAAGAGAAGGCTAATGGGAGATCTTATCATCACCTCTTGCTATTTTGCATCAGGGTCTAAACATAAGGACACCTTTCCTTCCTAAGGAAATTGAGGAGGTTACTGGGAATGGTCTGTCTGCACTGGCCAAAGATCTTCAGCAAAATCTGTAAAATGGTGAAATAATACAATGGGGAAATTTTACAAAAAAAAAAAAAAAGTAACAACAGTAGAAAACAAGGGTCAAAGTGTCATCACATTCCAGACTTTCATTAAGTTAAGATAAACAAAATCACTAACAGAAGACTTCGTTTCCTAGAGCTTACAACGAAAGACTGACTGTACTGAAAAAGAAAGCAAATACCTACCTTAGACAACTTGTTAACTCAGCACTAAGTTTTGTTTGGCTCAACATAGTTTAGATGGCAGCAGCCTGCTCAGACAGCCAAGTGGAATTGTCCCCACTGCACATCAGTAGTGAGCGAAACCAATTGGGTATCATCACAGCTAGGCCCTTGGGGCTAAGTCAGGTGTGCACAGTAGATCTAAGTGAGATGAGGTGTTCCAGCATCTGCTTTCCCCACACTCCAAGGATATTTCTAAGAACGTGTATTTTCAGTGTCTGAAAAGCAACTGGAAGCCCATATCTCACTAAGAGTTAGCATGGAGAAACTCACATCCCTCTTAGCAGCAAAGCATTGTATTTCGTCCCTCCAATACACAGAGGAAGAAATCCAACCATAAGATTTACTCTTTCATCCCTTACTCAAACCACTCTGAATTCCTTTAAAGTAGTAATTAACTGCTAATTTAGTACAGCGAGCACAAAGCCTGCACAGCAGAGCGCAGCATTTCCAGCAGCACAGTGCTGACACCTATAAAGGAGGAAATACACAAAAGCAAGCGACAACAGATCAGAGCAAGAGGATCACTCACCACTTTACTTTGCAGGTCTGTGTGTTCCATTCCACAATGTGTTTGTCTTCTGAACAGCTATACAAACAGCAGTTGTCCTGATGCCACCTCACACAATTTATTCTATTGTCATGACCACCATCCTACAAAACACGAGAGGGTTACTTACGAATAAAGAGGTACTGCTACTGAATCTTCCCCACATCAACAATGAGAACAAAGTGCTCTTTCAAGAAATGAATCCAAATCACAGACACTTCAAAGGGGAGCGCATAGCATGCAACTTGTTTTGTGCTTTTTACAACCAGTACACATACAGAGCTGCAAGTTAAAGATACTTCGTATTTTCACCTGTGCATGTATTCGTTATTGTTCTACTACTTCAGTTAACAAAAAGTTGTCCTGCACTACTGACAAACAGCAGTCAAAGCTGCTGAGCAGTAGCACAGTTAGCACAGGTGTCTTGATAACAGATATCTAAGTGCCTGCTTGCTGAAGTCCAACCAGGATGTACAGAGGAGTCCATCAAAGAGTACCACAGCTTAACCAAGAGCTGATGAATACTTCAATCCTGCCCTCTCCTCCCGTAGCCCTAGAGAGGCACAGGGGACGATAGGTACAGGGAGAACTTAATTGTTCACTTAGACATTTCATCATTATGAACATATTTGATGTAAAATAAATCCACACACAATGTTAGGATACTGCCAAACTAAGAGGTCTCATACTGCCAACAGCAGTACCACTCAAAGATTCCCAAGAATCTAAATTATTGCAATTCTATTCAAGTATGCAGTCATTAAGAAAAAAAGATCTGATTAACTAGGTCAGTTTAGCCCATTTTTAAGCAACAGAAAGAACAGCATAAGCTGACTGAAACTACCATTATTTGGCAGCACATGACAATGAGTGTGTAACTTACTAGCTTGCTCTGTAATTCTCCTTTTACTGTGCTGTACAACAAAATGCTACCAACTGCTGTGCCAATAGCCAGGATGTCTAACTGCTTGTCCACTCCTGTAGCTTCAGACTTCCGTTTTTTCCTCTGGGGGCCATCCTGCAAAACAGAGAATAAAAAAAAAGGAATTAATTAGTTTGACCTGTTATTCTTAAGTGCTAAAGCAGGGGGAAGAAACCTCTCCAAGTCTGAGATCCAGTCAGCCAGCACAAATTCTGCTAAGACACAAGATGTAGATGTGGCAATTTAGAGGTTCATCTTATACCTCCACGTTCAAGGTAGCAAAGTTGCTGAGTCTCTTGGAAATGCTCAATAGAGGCCATTTTGCTAACTTAGTGACCACACATGGAGGGAAAAACATTTGTTTTTCAGAGTTCATTTCCCAGAGGCAGAGGTAAAGATTAAACATGACCAAATTACTTCATTCCCAGAACAGAAACGTATGTTAAGTTTTATTAGGAATCATCAGTTTACCATCAGTCTTGCAATACTAAGTAACCACAATGCCTCTTAAAAAGAAAGTGCGACCACACCAGACAGAGAGAAGCAACCAGGAATTGAAACTATATCATCTATCCTAGTCCTGGAGTCGATTACTAGGGGTCTTCCTACAGCCTATCAGGCAATTCTCAAGTTTACACCCTCCTGCTTCGCAAGGGATACCAACTACTTCGATAAAGAATTTCATCTTGCTTAACCAAAAGCATGCAAAACTTGAGTAAAAAAAAAAAAGGCAGAAGAAACAGCTGTGTTTATTGTGACTGGGTAAACCCAAGTAATTAATCAATAAAATAAAACGGCTAATTCAGGTTGGATATCAGGAAACATTTCTTCTCCAAAAGAGTGGTTAGGCACTGGCACAGTCACCATCCCTGGAGGAGTTCAAGAACCACGGAGATGTGGCACTGAGAGACAGTCAGTGGGCATGGCAGGGGTGGGCATGATGATCTCAGGGGACCTTTCCAACCTTACTGATTCTATGATTCTCATCTGTCAGATCGTATACATCATATAACGTACATAATTTCGACAGCTCCAGAGATATAATGGCTACCAGACTTTGGGGGTTTTCAGCAAATTAAAAACTTTAACAGCGTAGGGTAAACAGTCTCAAAACTAGTTTGAAGAACTAGAGCCTTCTTTTCCTACATATTTAACATACACACTTCCCCACCTCCAAGGAAAATGGTTTCATTCAAAGCCAATAAATGCAAATATGCTGTATTGCTTATTAAAAACAGCAGTGGGCTCTAGAGAAAAGTAAGGACGTTGGTTTTTGCAAGGATTTGTTTAGGCTTCACCTTCCCTGGGAAAGAAAAGTGTTTACAAAAAAAGAAATGAAAACATAAGTGCTGAGAAATCACCACAGTTACAAAGCACAACTAATTAATCAACCAGGTTTTAAGATAATATAAGGAGACTCACGCACTAAATAAACTCGTTAAATTTCTGGCAGCAGTGCCAACTCAGCCACCTCAAAACTGTTGTTAGAAATGCAAAGACAGGGACCACATTGCCACTGGAGACGTAAGCACAGCTTATATTTTCCAGAGACTTTTCAAAATCTGTGTATCTAGTTCTATTAATTATCGCTCCCAATCAGTACTGGGAACCAAAACCACAATTAAGAGCAGATTTTGTTCTTGTCCCCTGAATAAAGCTTTAATTAAAGCTCATTCAATCTCCATATGGTTCATTATGACTGATTTCCCTTAAAGCAAACCAAAGGCATCACTGAGCATCACAAGGTCCTGCTGAGGTCCGCAGCACTACCAGTGTTATGAAGAAAGTAGGGATAGTGAAGTTTTCTCCAATTACTTTTCTTACACCCATTTCTTTAGTGAACTTTAGTGCCTTCATCAGCACTATTCACGGGGTGTTCTGTCTCGAAAGAAGCATCGATGAAAAATTCAGACCTATTCATGCTGGAAGGGACTCCAAAGAAGCACCTAGCTCTCATGGAGAGGACAGAGCAGCTGAAGTGTATCAAGCATCAGCTTCTTTTGAACATTTTCAGATTTATGGAAACTCAAACTTACTTTAAAATACTCAAAAAGCTTAGCTTTAACTAGCAGAGATACTTAGAAAAGTCATTTGCAAATGAGAATTTCCGTAACATTCTTTCTTGTGTAGGGCAGCTGCTGAGAACGAGACTTTTCTTCTAATTAACAGAAATCTAATTTCTCTTGGTAACATGTTAAGTAAAGCTCTTAAAACCCTGAAGAGCCTTAAGAGCTGAAGATGACAGAACAGCTGCAACTTACTAGGAAGGAGATGGAAGAAACTACTTTGAAAGTCAGTGGTCCTCTTGCAAAAGACACCACTTGTTGGGAAGGGAGGTGGTGAACAGGACAAGCAGGAAGCACTAACGCTGCAAAAGCACGTGTGCAGAGAGCATGCCAATAAGTCACCACTGCATCAGCAATTCCAGGGCCTGGAGTTCAACTCTACGCTCCTCATGCTCCCCTCGAAACACCTGGCCTTCATTAACACAGAAGCAGTCCAAAGCGCAGTCGAGGCGTAACCTGACAAAACACCAGGCGCCTACTGTCATGGTTTTACTCCTACACACCAGGTACTACTGCTACCTGGAGACATCACATTTCAGCAAAAAAGAATAAGAACTAAACAATGCCATAGGAAAAAAACAGAGGAAGCCAAAGCTTGCCTGATGAAATCCTTTTTGCATACAACCCTACAAACAGCTATGTTGGAGCATCTGTAGTCTTTAGGGGTGGCTGTCTAAAATGGCCCTAATGTTTAAGCACCACTCAAAACTTCCTGTGCTTGACCTAAGGCAGCACGGTACGTCAAGCTTTGAAGCCGCACTGCACACAGCAGAGGTAAGCATCAGTTTCAGTTTCTGTTAACCTGTTCAGCCTTCCCATTAATGTATGCATCTTCTTTTCTTCCAAGCTGAATTAAAAACGAGCAATGAAGAGGCCAATCTGAAATTAATTCTTTCTTCCACTTTATATAGCCCATGGATTAAGCTGCTTAAGTAACAAAAATGGGGCAACACAGCCTTCCTTTGGGTGGGTAATCTGAGTGCACGAAGCATTTCAAGATACCTGTTGCAGTATTTATAAAAAGCTTTTACCAAAACACATTTAACTCGTTGCTTCTTAGGGCAAACCGGGTGTATTGCACAAATCCATTCAAGAGAAGCATCTTGCTCAGGAAGTCGTTTGTTACAGTGAGCAAAGTAAGGACTACCTCGATATAAACGAGCCGAAAAAGTGATTTAAGGCGTGCACTACAGAGGCTTTCAGCTGGAGCGTCCCAGTGAGCTTAGCCAGAAGGCGGAGATCCCCCGAGGTGCTTGGAGCTGCTGAGCGCAGAGCACGAGGCGCGGGGTCCTGTGGAGGGGAGAGCCGGGCTGCGTGCCACATACCGGGCTACTTCAGGGCGCGCTGCTTCCACGCAGGGAACGCGAAAAGCAAACGGGTTTCGCCATCAGCACTTTGGCTGAGAACACCTTTAGTCAATTTAGAAGAGAAAATTAAAAAAAAAGAGAAGGATGCGCCGCGCTCCCCGCCACCAAGTAGGCTTTCCGTCCCGAGCAGCGGCCCCACACGTGGCGCGGGCCAGCCCGGTCCCGTTGGCGCTGCCGGGCCTCGCCGCATGGCGCCGGGAGGGCGGGGTGAAGCGGCGCGGCCGCACCTCGAGGCCGCGCGGGGTACGAGCGCTCCTCCCGCGGATCCCTTCCCCCCGATCCGCCCGTACCTTGTCGGGGGGCGGCCGACCCCCCGGCGGGGCCCAGGCCAGGCAGGTGCAGGCGGCGCTGAGGTGAGCGGAGGGCACGTACTCGTGCTGTAGGCGGCTGCTCGCCGCGTCCCACACGCGGAGCCTCCCATCCGAGCCGGAGACGGCGAGAAAACGGCGGTCGTGAGGCGAGAAGGCCAAGGGGGGCCGTGCCGCCACCTCCCCGCCGCACGCCGCCGCCATGGCGCTCCCAGCTCGGCCCTCCGCGCCTGCGCAGCTCCGGCCGCGTGCTCGCTCCGCGCGCGTGCGCCGCGCTCCCCGTGACGCGACCGGGATGGCGTCATCACAGAGCGCGCCGCCTGCGGGATGGCGTCATCACAGAGCGCGTCGCCTGCAGGATGGTGGCTCCCGCCCGGCTCCTCCGGCGGGCCTTATCCTCAGCGTCCGACGGGCGGAGGCCGAGGAGGGCGTGGGAGGCTTCGCTGTCGCCTTTGGAGAGACTGAAGCGGCTGCTGCCGCCGGAGCAGGCTGCGGCGGTGGAGCGCTGCGCGGAGCCCCGCTCCTCGGCCTCCTCGCAGGCGCCTCCCGAGGAGAAAATGGCGGCACCGAGCGCGGCGCCCACCGCAGCGCCTTCCCCGCAGGGACCTCGCGAGGAGAAAATGGCGGCGCGCCTCAGCCCGCTCCGCGCGGGGGAGCTGGCGCTGGCGGAGCTGCGGAGGAAGCACAACGCGACGCTGAAGCTGCTGTGCCGCTTGGAGGCGGGCGCGGTGCTGAACTCGCACGGCGGGCTCCTGCCGCACCGGGACATCATTGGGCAGCTGCCCGGGCAGCTGCTGCGCTCTTCGGCCGGGGCGCGGCTGCTGCTGAGGCGGCCCTCGCTGGACGAGTACGTGCTGCTGATGCCGCGGGGACCCACCATCGCCTACCCCAAGGTACCGGCGGGACGGTCAGGGGGCCGGGGTGGGCCTCACCTTCGTTTCAAAGTAACGTGTCGTGACTTTGTCTCCCCTAGGATATCAGTGCTATGCTGATGATGATGGATGTCCACCCAGGAGATGTTGTGTTGGAGAGTGGCAGCGGGTCTGGTGCTCTGAGCTTGTTTCTGTCAAGAGCAGGTAAGACTCTGCTCTTAGAAATGCAGCGCAATTATCAGAACTGTAGAAAAGGACCCCTAAGATCATCGTGTCCAGCTACTACCCCCACCGTGCCCACTGACCACATCCCTCAGTGCCACAGCTAAGCATTTCTTGTCACCTCCAGGGGCAGTGGCTCCACCATCTCTCTGAGCAGCCCGTGCCAATGCAAACCACTGTTTCTGAGAAGTTTTTCCTAATACCAAGCCTGAACCATCCCTGGTGCAACCCGAGGCCATCACCACTTATCCTGTCACTTATCCTATCACTGTTACCTGGGAGAAGAGGCCAACCCCACCTCACTGCCTCCCTTCAGGCAGTTGTAGTGATCAGTAAGGTTTCCCCCTGAGCCTCCTCTTCTCCAGACCGGCCAATCCCAGTTCCTTTAGCTGCTCCCGATAAAACTTGTGCTCCAGACCCTTCACAGCTTTGCTGCCCTTCTCTGGACACACTCCAGAGCCTCAATGTCTTTCTTGTAATAAGAGGCCCCTGAACGCTGAACACAGCACTCGAGTGTGACCTCACCAGTGCTGAGTACAGGAGGATGATCACCTCCCTGCTCCTGCTGGCTGCTCTATTTGATACAACCCAGGATGTCATTGGCCTTCTTGCCCACATGCTCACACTGACAGCTAACATCCCCAGATCCTTTTCCAGCCACTCTGCCCCAAACCTGTAGCGATTTATGGGGTTGTTGTGACCAAAGTGCATGACCCAGTACGTGGCTTTGTTGAAGCTCATAGATTGCCATCAGCCCAACAATCCAGCCTACCCACATCCTGCTGTAAGGCCTTTCCATCTTCAGGCTGTTCAGTGCTTCCTTATGTTGTTTTTAAGCTGATCAAACAGTTGCAGTCAACTCTTAAAAGTTGTGCAGCACTTTTAACATTCACATAAACTCTGCTGACTTAAAGGAAGCCTGTGCCTGGCCCTATGCAGGAACTATACTTTGTATTTTGAGGGTTGTTGTATAAAGAGTCACCCTCCTGAAAGGTAAGGTTTAGTTCTCATTACTGCTGGGTTTCTAGTACACCAGAGCCTTCCTCCAGTCTCCTTACTTTGTGACATGAATAATGAAAATGTTTGTGTTGTTTGTTTTTTCAAGCAATGAGCTAGCCTGGTCTGACTTAGATTTCATTGCTCTAGAAGGTAGAGAGCTGTTGCACTCAGTCGAACTGTCGTGCCTTTTCACTTGTGCTTGTAAACCACTTAATGCTATTATCAACTGTCTTGGGAAGGCAATCTGGCAGAAGGCTGTTCTTCCTCTTTTTGTAGACTGCAGGTTTAGTTTCTTGCCATTTCAGTTTCCTGTCCTGTTCCCTGCACGGTCAGGAGCTGGTAACTGCAGAGGGGAATTGGCAGGTAAATGGGGCTGGGGCAGGATGTGGGCAGAACTGCCCCTCTTGGCTGCACCCCACAGTAGTTTAGTTTTCCTGGAGTCCATCTGTTTTGTAGTTGTTTGAGGTGAAACAACCTGTTTTCTTTGCTTTTCTGAAAGGATTCACGGGATCAAATAGATGAAGAAAGGAGCCTGCTGGCTCAGAATAGCTTAAAAAGTCATGGTGAGCTGTTCCTTGTGGAAAGCTGTCTTTGCCCAATAAAAGTAGCGAGGAGTAAGAAGTTAATGGGATGGTAGTTGAGAAAAGAGAATCATACAAGCACAGAATAATACAGCAATGTACACACTGCTGTCTTTGCCTGGAAAGCCTGATAACACTTCCTCTATGAAGAATGTTGTGAATTGGACTCATAGTGAAGATTTCAAGATGGTAAGTTTATGCTTACATAATAAGGCAATTATGGTTATAAACAGTAACCATGTATAAATCAGGAAGTACACTTGTAAAGCTTGTCCATGGGGTGAGGTCAGTGAGCAGGCCTGGGGATTTTCCTAGCCTTTGCTGAATTCTAAAGGAAAAGGTGGGGGGAGAACAGTAAACCTTTGTTTAAAAAAATAGTAATAATTTAATACCATTGCTTTCAAATCTGCTTTATGGTATCTAAGGGTAGCAAACTGCATTGCAGCTTTCTCAGCTGCTCCCTGGTAGCTGTAGCAGAAGAATCAAGGGTTCACAAGGCCGCAGGTACTCAAGTCATCTTTTCCTGCAGAGAGTTACTTTGCAGGAAGACGTTACATATGTGCTTATTTCCTAAAATGAATTGGAGATTTTGAGGCATATTTCTTGTCACTTACATCGCTATCTTTTTTCTAAATTACTCAGTATGGATGGGAAAATAGTACATCTCGTATTTTGTTGTTGTTGTTGTAAGTTGGGCCCGAGGGACGTGTTATCAGCTATGAAATCAGAGATGACCATCACAACTTAGCAAAGAAGAACTACAGGCATTGGCGCACAACGTGGAAAATAGGACATATGGAGGAGTGGCCAGATAACGTGGATTTCATTCTTAAAGACATCTCAAGAGCTGCTGAGGATATGAAATCTTTAACATTTGATGCAGTAAGTCCAAATAATCCATACGTGACATAAATCAACAGTTGTTTTCTGTGTGACTCGAAAACTCAGGTGCTGTCACTTGCAGTGGGATTCCCAAATCTAACTTAACACCAGCTAGCAGATGATCCTGATTTTTTTTTTTTTTTTGCACCAGGTTCCATCTACATTTTCCCAAATGAAAGAATCAAGCTGCAGTAACAGAAAAATAGCAAAATCTTGTTCTTGCCTTGTAAGAACATACTTACTTGCTTTGATTTTGGAGAAATGCAGAAATTCTTGTATATGAGTAAGGCATAATATTTTAAGCATTAAATTTAAAGAAATTACACAAGCTTATTGAAAATATGAATATGTAAACACTTGGCTATCAGCTGCACAGAATACAGAATGTTTCTAAAAAGACAAACTAATTACATTAATACTCCAAATGACAATGTGGGAAAAGAGTTTAAGTGAAGAAACAGAATAGCTAGCATAAAAATACATGATCTTTAAAAACTTTAAATGCAACAGTCCACAGGAAGGATCAGATACTGCATTTCTCACTGTTTTACAATTTGAATAGATTTCTACCAAAAAGAAATAAAGGATGGGTAACTGAGACTGAAGTTTTCTAAACCTTGAAACCAGCAGCAAACTACACATTTAGACCGTAGCCTGATCACTTCATCACACAGATGCATTTGAGCTTGTTAACATTTACAAACAAGATATCCAAAGGTGTTAGTAAATGCAGCTTTAATAACATTACAGAGTTTAATTAGTAGGAGGTTTAATGTGAGTACAGAGCTGCCTTGCTGGTGAACACGTGACTTCCTGCAGTAATAGAAATTCAGGTGGAAATAGCATGGGCTTGTTTTCATAGATTGGGGAACTCAGGTTTCTCTAAGCTGTTCAGGAGCATTAATAAAACTGCCTTGCTGTAGCATGCATCAGTTTTCCATACATAAATGTTGTTTTTCAAGTATTGTAACAGAAAAACATAATTCTCTTGCAGATAGTTCTGGATATGCTTAACCCTCAATCTGCTCTGCCTGTTGTACACCCCAGTCTTAAAGAGGGTGGTGTGTGTGCTGTGTATTTAGCTAAGTAAGTATTTACCTCTGGCACTTCAACATTTATACAGGCATCACCTGAAATTGTTGCTAAACCATGCTCTCCTAAAATACCCATCCAACTCTAATGGAAGTAACCTATATATATGTATATATGTATATATGCTTTTTTTGTTGTTGTTGCATTTTTCATTTATTTCCTTTTTTAGGAGTTGCACTCGGTATAAATCACACTTGTCTACATCCTTTGGTTCCTTCAGAACACTTACTGTGGTCACTGAGAGGTTTTAGTTAATGACATCCTCAAAATAACTATTGTGTTCAATTCAGTAGTCGAGTTGCTAGTTCCTTTATCCTAAAATGGAAGGATGTGCAAAAAACCCTAAGGTAAAGAATATGGCAAAGGCAATAGAACTAAGTCTATAATACTGATTGGAGTTCTTAAAATATTCCTTTATCCTTTGCATTTCTTCAAAAGCATCACACAGGTTATAGACCTTTTAGACAGAATACGGACATGCAGGCTCCCTTTTGCCTGTGAAAAGATCGTTGAGGTAACTCATAGAAATTGGTTGGTGCTCCCTGCTAAAATCAAGAACTGCAAATCAAGCCAAAGAGTGGAAACTCAAGAAGATATCGAGGAAGATCCTCAACACAAAGAATGTGATGAAATCCAAACTCTGGATCAAATAGTTCTTAACGAAGGTGAAGGCGATGGTAAGAATAGTATTGTTAATAAGATTGTTAGTGCAATTTTGACTACCCAAAGATAAAAATCCGGGCTAAACAGAAAATATATGACAATCTGCAAATGCAGAACGACTGTCCTTCCTGACTGTTTTGAAATTTTTAAACAAAATTCAGTCCTTTTGCTGAGGATTGTGATGGGCTGAAGGATTCCCTATGGAAATGATACCCGTATGCCCTGTATTCAATTTATACTGTCTTAGCAAGTAAAATATATATATATATATATATATATATATATATATATATATATATATACCTTATATAAATATATGGCTGATATGGGGTTGTGAAATTCAGTGTAGAGCAGAGAGGTCTAAAAGTACTGATAGATGACAACAAAGCACTTTAAGAGTGGGATAAAGAAAATGAATGTGCATCGGTAGCTGCAGTCTGAGGGGTGCATGTTCTCAAACCTGTTGGAAAGAATTATACAAAAAGATGTACTTCTCACAGAATCATTTCCTGATGATGCTGAAACACACTGCTCAGCACCTTACGTTGCAAGACCATCGCGTTGGCAGGACGCTCATTCAGGTGAGATACTTGAGAAAATGCTTTTATTGTAAATTTTAAAATATTTTCAAAAATAACAACATCTATACTAGCACTTGACATATTACTGTATCACAAGATCATGAAACTTATAATAAACTAGAAATTCAATAGAAATTCTAATAAACTAACTATAATAAACTAATAAATAAACTAACTAATAAATAAACTAACTAATAAATAAACTAACTAATAAATAAACTAACTAATAAATAAACTAACTAATAAATAAACTAACTAATAAATAAACTAACTATAATAAACTAACTATAATAAACTAACTATAATAAACTAACTATAATAAACTAACTATAATAAACTAACTATAATAAACTAAACTAACTATAATAAACTAAACTAACTATAATAAACTAGAAATTCAATATTAAAAACTTGAAATTGAATATTGAAATAGTAACTAGTTTTGTTTTTCAATTAGCATTCCTCACCAAGCTGAGAAAGTTTCGACCACCACTTTCTTGATGCTGCTGCTGTTAGCTGCTAACCTGAGGTTGTATCAGAATAAAGAGTTACAAAATAGCTATGTTTTGCAAGTTTTGTAACTTCCAGGTAATTCCTGCTTTGATTTCTACTGCCTATCAGACTCCTAAATCCTACTTGCTATTTAAAGGGAAATGTTTTAACAGTCATCGTGTATGGCACGGCAGTGCAACACCAATTGTTCGGCAAAGCACAGCCTCTGTTTCTTTGTTCAATGCATTTCATTCTTCATTCATTGTAAACCAATCCATGGAGTTGTCTTGGTTCCAGGTATTATCTCTTCTCCTTTTGCTGGACAGGCTCTGACAGTCTACCAGAAATCAGGAGGGGGAATAAAATTGGTAAGAAAACTTCTGAGATGCTAGTGAAGCAGCTTCCAACTTGGCTACATACCACCTGGTCGCTATTGGGTTCTGCAAGAATAGTGTTTGCACAACTGTAATGGAAACTGAAATTCACTGAACTTGTTCTTTAGATAAAAGCTGTGCTCGTTTCTAAGAAAAGATACCAGTTGTTGATAAGAATAGCTTTTTTTTCCAGAAACTATGCTGAGATCTGCCATGGTATTTATTAGCTTTGCTATGAGGTACTCAAATGGTCAAATCAGACACAGAGCTGGAACTTGAAGGTTAATTAATTGAAACTCTAACCCTTAATAAGGAAGTAATAAATAATTAATACTAAGAATACTGCAATATGTCTTTGCAGAACAGGGGCCTTAGCACAGGAAGTTTACATCTCAGAGGTTCCACTCTCAACTGTAATGAAAGATTAGACATAACTGCTCTGAGTATCAGAGGCTTCTCATGTAAAGGCTCAGGAGACAGCTTTGAGTGGTTTGCTGTGTAAAGATTCTATTCTATAAAACAGTTTTTGCAATAAACTCCTATATTCTTTTCCATACATGCCCCAACTCTGAAAGAGTATCTGGCATAAATTCTGTCAAAGACAGAGCTGCACTTAAAGGAGACAGATCATCTTACCACACCAAGGATAAAGCGGTCCTTACTGTGGTTTAAAGGGCAAATACAGCCTCAGTTGCCCAAACTAATTCAAAAATATTTGCAGTATTTAACCATACCTTGGGCAGAAGCAGGAGAGTCAACTAGCATTTTTTCAATTGCAAAGGTGTCCTTCGAATCCTGGGATGAACATAACTCTTCTAAACTGCTAGCAGATGAGGAGGAAGATGACAATCCCAGTCGTACAAATCTTCCTTTGTTACCACAGACGTAACAGGGGATAGGAGAATTATTAGGTCCTCGTGGCAGCAGAATTTTATCTTTGTTGTAGTTCCTTATGGCTCCACTGTGGTACACAGAGCGTTCTCGCTGCCAGATGTAATGTGTTGGAGCAATAGCCATTACCTAGCAGAGCAACCATTCCATCAGAAGTGAAAATAACTGGCAAACATACAGCTGAGAACAAGGGATCCAATTCACATATAACAAAACTAAGACTAGAGAAGAGGTACCTTGTCTGCCTCAGTCTCACTAGTTTTGCTAACGCAGGCGAGAATAAGTGGACTGGTTGTATTCAGATGTTTAAATGTGATAAGTAAAGCATCACAAATGCCAGGTTATGCTTTATTTGTTGGACTGAAGTTGTTGTCTTTTACTATTAAACATAAACTAGATGGATCTTCTGGCTCACAAAGTCATTAAACTCACAACAACCAAGTTGGTACGGTGTGCTCTGAAGCACACTCCACTCTTGCCTCATTGCTTGTATTTTTCCCATAAGCATCTCATCCCATTCCCAGAACAGATTTTCTTTTCCACCAGCTGTAGTAAACATTATGTTCTTCAAACATAGCAGGGCTTTTTCAGACAGATAGATGTCATCTGGAAAGCAAGGAATGCCTTTTACCCCCCAGTATGTTTGAAAAATGGAGGTTGTAACAACACATTAACAAAGCATGTTAAAAGCATGTCCTTTCTTTTTCGAAATAAAGTGAAAAACCATTGCCTTACCAAGTCTGTTAAAGTTACATTGTTAACTGTTAAGAGAGTAAAATTTCACCTGCGGTGCTACTTAAAGGTTTCACTTTGTGTACAAACTCGAAATTTGTAAAGCAAAGATGCACACAAAAGTATTTCCGCAGTGAATGATGTTTAGCAGCTAATAATATACTTTAAGCAAAATTATTTGCACAAAGCAGAAAGATTCTCGTCCTTAGAGCTTGAAACTGTAGCATAACAAAATATTCTAGTTTACCTTAAAACCATTGTTTCAAAGATTGTATTTTGAATGCAGAAGAAAAAAAACTGATGAAGGAAAAGCTCCACCTTTTCCTTCCTGTGGCTCATCTACTCACTTTAGGGAAGCAATTGTTAGCGTGGAGCTATACTGTTAATTGGTATTAATTGTTGTAGTTTCGGTATCTACGGTATTAAAACTGTCCCTACCTCTTCACAGCAACGTCTGCTTACAATAGCCCTGTAGTCAATTCTACTCCACAGATGATCCCTTAACTTTAAGAAATCAGGAAAGAGCATTCTCCAGTTATTTCCCAGAGCCCATGGGAAAATCTCATACTTTGATTCTTCGTTCTCTTCTTCCACTGTATTTGCCAGATACCTTGAAATATATATATATGTTTGTGTCTGTTATTCAATCTCAAATTGTCATATGAATGTGAGTTCTAACACTAAGAGACATACTAGTTATTTTTCCTAATATTCTAAGGAAAAAAATTTCTAATAAAGCAGTCTTCTTTCCAGATAACAATATGTTCTCAGTCAGAAAGTTTTACATGTATCTTTTAGATAAATATAAATTTATGGTAAGCTATTATTGAAACACTTTACCCAAGAGCCTCCTAAATAAATAGGTATGTAAGAATTCATATATCCTGACAGCTTTCACCTAATTTTAGTTTAATAACCCATACAAATCATACCTGAAAAAATTACTACTTTTAGTCTCCTCACTTGCAAGACTGCAAGTCTTCTCTCTAGTCCCAGCCCAGTGAGACCCTTTGGCCCTTTCTAGTCCTCTATCAGTTCTGGGACTGCTTTTTCTCCCATCGTAGGAGCCAGACAACTTTCTCCTCCTTGATCTATGGATGTTCATGGCAAAAAAAACAGCCACCTTTCTCCCTGCACTGGTGTGCAAATCAGAGCAGCTTCTCTTATAGGAAAAGATTACCTGTGCTCTGTAACTATGAAACAAAGTACTGAATCTGTCAGTATGCTATATTTTCTTGGCCAAATACAGAGGTATATAGGCTCAATAAAGGCTTCATCATTGCAGGTTCATCATTGCACCTCTGTTTCAATGTATAGGAATTTTTGTAAGTATTCAGGAAAGCGATTCTCAGAAATTACTTAGCTATGTTTTTACTGTTGACTCAAATCATCTTGTCAGAAACTTTATTAGTAAGTTGTGCATCATTATGAATCCTTTCAGAGCAAATGACTTGAAAGCTTACAAAATATTAAATGGGGTCTTACAAGAGAAACATAAGACATTTCTATCTCTTATCTATCGTCCTGCATTTATTTTATTGCGTATTTATTTTAATCCATACAAAGATCAGAGATTGAGAGTTCTGTAGGCAGAGGTCCATGCTATAAATTACAGTACCAATGCAAACATCCCTGCTACTCAAGTTGGAAATCAGGAAAACAACGTTCAATTTGCACTAACTATATATGATGTGAAGATCACGTTTCTTTGCTTCATATAGTACCCAAACAACTACAAACTGGTTATGATGTCTTACTGTGTATCAGAATCATCAAAAAGCAACAAGCTAACGCCAAAATTTTGTTAATAATTATTTAAGAATACTTACAGAGCAAGAAAGAAATTGAGTCTGGTATGCTCATGTATTGTGAAGTTAGCCCTCTTGAAGTAAACGAATGTCATTGCCAAAAGATACTGTTGTAAAATGTGAAGCGTTACATTCATTATTAAGCATTAATACATTATTTCAATATAACAGTACAGAAAACTCTTAGAATGTTTGTCTCACACCAAAGTGCCTTATCAACAAAGAAAGCATAAATTGGGTTTTCTCAAAGCCTCCATAAAAACGTATTAGGAAAAAAAATACAAGTGGTATTCTTACTGTAGTATCAAGTGATTAGCAGCAGACTTTCAAGATAGATTAGCATTAACTACATTTACCTTGTCTGCAATTTTGCAGCAACTGTCCATCCATAGGAAGTCTTGAATTAGATCATCATCTACAACAAAGATGCTCGTCAGCAGTTCAGTTTACAAATACAGCCTCCCTGTATTTTAATTTAGGCATTAAACATACACTGGAATTTAACAACAGTAAAACACGTTAACCTAAGGCACGGCTGTTAGCATCTATATCAACAGCATCCCCAAATTATCTCCGAGTTTAGAAAACAGACTTCGTGAAGAGCTGCCTACAGTGCAGTCAATCGGTATCTAATAGCGACCTACCAAAGAGTTTAAAGAAAGCTGTCATCTCCTGGCGCTGAATAACAAGGCCCGGCGGCTTTAGCTGTCCGCAGGTACCATTACGAACACGTTTCTCACAGTTTCCTAGCCTCTTTCGGGAAGAACGCCGATTCGGTCTGACCACCTTTTTCTGCTGCGGGGCTCTGATGGCGTTGGGCTTCAGGTGGGCAGCAGGAGGTGTGTCACGCACCAGGCTGTGCCACATGGTGGCGAGCCAAGGTCCCTGCAGGGAAGGACTTGGTTAACTAGAAGAACGGGCACTGAGCAGCGCTGCCGTGCTTTGTTCACACCACGCGTCTTCAGCGGAGCCGGCCTGCCTGCCGATGCTGAGATGAGCTGTATTGCTGCTGAGCCGGGCAGCTGGCTTTCCTTTAGCTCGTTTGTAACCGCAAACGCGGGGATGCCAAGAGAAGCGTGAGGAAAGCTGTCTTGCATCGGGAGAAAGCGACTTTACTCCTCCAGCAGGGCCTACGCAGAGGGGAGGCTGTCCGAGGCAGGCTCACAGCAGCCCACTGAGTAAGAACTCAGCCGACACACTTACGATAAGGCTCACGAGAGCCAGCAACATCATTCGCCTCCCGCGCAGCGAGCGCTTCAGACACACCGACCGCCTCTCGCAGCGACCCGCCCGCTCCTCAGCGAACCGCCTTTCACGCCACGCCCCAGCGCGAGACGGCGTCCTTGGCAGCCAATCGGAGCGCGGGAGGCTGCCGCTTCAGCCAATCAAGAGGCGAGGCATTCTTAACTTCCCCACCCGCCGACAGCCCTGGGCGGAGCCCGCCCAGCCAATCAGAAGCGGGCACGGTTGTTGCTTGGCAGGCGGCGGTTGCGCCGCGGTGAGATGCCGCTGTCTCGCAGCGATGTGTGGAGCTGTTGCTCTTCCCTCTCTAATAAGCTGTACCCTCTATAATAAGCTGTGCTGAAACCAGCTGCCTGCTGTCTAGCAACGTTGTAAAAGCATTCCTCTGTTTTAACACGACACCTTTAGCTAAAGAAACACAATACTGAAAAGACACGACTAGGCTTATCATCAAAGGAAGGCAGGGCTCCACCCGAGGCCAAACTGCCTCACACCAGGAGTAGACTGGGATGCAACAGGCAGATGTCCAGATACTCCCCTTCATCCTCCTTTTCCAGCACCTCAGTATAATTTATCTCTATCCAAGGACAAGCAGATGTTCAGACTGGCCAGTGCTGAGTGAACAAATGTTGTGATTTTGGCACCTATAAATTACTAATAATAGACGTTCTACTGAGCATGCATCAGTGGAGAACGTTCAGCTAGAGAGGAAGACCACTGGATGAAGTAAAAGGCATCAGTTGGACTGGTCGTGATGCTAAAAGATGCTAAATAGTAGAAAAGACCATGGAATAGAAGACTGGGAACTTCATAAATCACTACCTGAGATAGACACGTGTATGGTAATTATCCCAAGGGTAACTGATGAATATGTGCTATCTGTGGAAACATAACCGACTCTGAGTCGGTCTCTACTGGGTACATGGTAAGAAGTTATTTAACAGGGTAAAAACAAGGAAACAAAACTTTATCAGCCTGGCATATCATTAACTACAGCGTCCAGGAGTTCGTTTAACAGTTCATCCAAGCGTATCTGAAAGGAAATCCTTAGTTCTCTGATTTGCAAGTAGCTCAATGAACATCAGGGGGCACTGTTTCACTTAAAACAGAAACAACGCAGCCCTTCTCTGTTTTCCTACCTAGGCTTAATTCTGAGTCCTTCCTAAAGGAAGAGGTTAGATCAGTTGAGCTATCTTCGTCTCTACCTGTTGTTTCAGTGCTTTTCTCTATAGATAATGATTAAGATCTGTGTTTGAATTTTCACAGGATCTTATTTTTGAAAAATAAAGAAGATCGTATTCATGCACTGGAACTCAATTACGTGACACAGGGTTACGTAGCTACTCAGTAGCTAGGTCCAAAAAGGTGAAGGGAAGGCAGTTTACTTACTTTAAATTACAAAATAACAATTAAGGAGTTTTCAATGAATGAGTTATTTACATACAGATTAATAAGTATGGCAGAAAAAAAAATTGTACAGGAGGAAAACAAATGCCTTTGACATCCAGTATCCTTTTAATGGGGTTTTGTTGTTTGAGAAAGATAAAAGTCCCACTGGAAGAACACCTGGTCTATCTCTTCTCAGGAGGTCAGGAAGATGGTTCTTCTAAGTACACATCACTGTTCACAATAAAATACGCATTTTTCCAATGATAGAATTTTCTTATTGCCGAGTATGAGATGAGAGGAAAAAAAAAAACAGAACAGTTCTCTTCCTTGTAGACAGGACTCCTGGCCTTGACAGGGGAACCCAGCCTCAGTCAATGTAGATGAAATGAAACATGCAGGATGAGAACTCTGTTCCTAAAGACATGTAGGGAAATGCAAGCACTCATCTCAAAATGAAACCCTGGACATATTTCTTTTAGAATATACACTGTAGTGAGTGTCAGAAAATTTAAAAAGAAACAGATACACGACCTGAATCCACATCTCTCACTAGTAACCTGTTTCTTTATGTGGGAAGGGAGAGTAAGGATTTAGAGGAGTTGCATGAAATAGCACATCACTGCAGCACTCGAGTTCCTGGACTAGGGCCACACACGTAACAGCCTGAATATGGCTTACCTGTTTGGTACTCTAACCAGCAGCTAATGATGTGAGAAAGGAGCCTTCATGATAAATCCCTGCTGTCAACAAATGCTACCGTGTGATTAAAATTAAAATGCTCTAGTGCCACTTAAGTGTATGTCAGTGATGGATGGATGGACACGGAAATTGTTGTCTGCTTTGTTTACCTGAAAAGAACTTCTAAGCACTCATCAGGGTTTTCTAATACATAAGGCCAAGAATAGCTCTGGTTGCTCTTGAGAGCTAAGAAATTCAGAAACTATATTTAAAAAATCATTTGGAAATAAGGCAGTGAGTAAGAAATGTACTGCCTACATTAAAACAACAAATGGCAGAAGAATGTCAAGGTCACCAGCAAATCCAGCGCGTGTCTAAACACGCAGCTTCTGAACAGCCAGGTGCTCCATAACAGCACATCTAGATTAAATACTGGGGACATAAGTCTGAACTTGCTGTTCACTTCTACTTCTATAATAGATGGATATATCCTGTATGAACCTAACCCACTCAAATCAGTGGAAGCATTTAAGATTTATTTTAAGGATTGGCTCTTCTGTGCTGGTTATAAAATGAAACAAAATAGTCTTACCTCAAGAGTTCCAATTAATTGCCAAAATAAACAGGTGAGACTATGCTAGGTCTTCACCATCGTGTCACAGCAAAGCTAATGAGGAACCAACGCTGTGTCTCTCAACATCAGCAGCTCCCACCTCTTAAGTGCGTGTTTGCTTTAAGGGGAAAGGACGTGAGGTGTGCAGTACTCTATATAGTGATTTTTTTTTAACCTCCTGATGTCTCTCACAACATTTTAACTTTTAGCAGCCACTGGAAGTTGGGTATTTGCACGTTAGTGAGCATTTAATAAGCATGGGTATTCATTACCCAGTTGCGCTCTTGCAGTTTCTTCATCCTGTATTGTGCAAAGAGCCCTAATGAACCAGACTGCTCTGTGCTGCCATGACCCACAGCCATTTCTTCCAGCTGCAGAGCAGCAGGCTTCCCAAGACACAGGTGCAGGAGCAAGGAGCAGGTGTGCTGACCAAGCCCCAGAGCTCCCAGCATACTGCGCATGTGGAGGCTACCCACATTTGCAGTGGAAAATGTAAACACTTCAGTCTGTAGGTATTCCCTCTTTCCTCTCAGGAACAACAAGCAAACACCAGGCTTCAAAGATCCTACCAATGAAAACATAGCTGAAGCAATACAACTTCCAGAGCTTTTACTTAAATAAAATAAAATGTTTCTATAAAATCACGCCAGCTGAAAATTTCCCATTCACGTCTAGTGAACAGCAACACGCATGCACGGTCTCATTAATGTTGATATATATGTGCACCGTAATACACAATATTGTGGCACATATGGGCAACTTACTATCCAGTAAATAAATCTATCTTTTTTATCTAGGGAAATAACACACGTAACAAGTTTGGTGCCTTCAAAACAATGCCCTAGTATTTTTCTGAAGGAGAATTTGCCAGTACTTGAACTAACAGCCGGCTGCGTGGATGAGGAATAGGCAAGTGCCTTCAGACTCCAGTTAGCTGGCTTATGATTCTGGAGTTGGGCAAACTGTAAATCTTTCTGATCTCATGCCCCATTCCTAAGTTCAGCTTTAACTCACGGTTTGCTGTTGCATAATTCAGATCGCAAACTCTTTCAAACACAAGGTATCTATTTATACTGTTTTTATGCTGCTGATCACAACTGAATCTTTGTCCATGACCACAGCCCCTGTAATATGAAACAATAGTGGTAATTAAGAGAGTATAATTTCTCTATTGTCAAGAGACTTTATTTTGACAGCAGGGCACTCAGAAGACTATGACAGGATTAACTAACAATAAGGCAGCAGTAATATCCAAAGTAAGGAAAGACATGTTTTCTGATGCAAGTATTTTGCCTCCTATCCTCCCAATGCTGTGATGAAAGAAACAGCTCCAAGCTCAGTAGCAGAAAGGCAAAACTTAAAAGACTAAAAACAGATGAATTACATTGTGAGCTGGAGAGCCTCAACATGTGTTTTTTTCACTGCCATCCAATGGTCCAAGCTCCAAAGGGTTAAACGAGACTTGCCACAGTTTGTTAAATATTGAATGCCCCTCCCAAGAAGCAATGGGCTCTATAATTACCCCCCTGTGCCAGGTCAAAAAGCTCTGGTTTGCTTGAGATCAGCAATCACAAGTTGTAAAAGTTTTTTTCCCTCAGAACCTGAAGCAATAAAATGACTAACAAGGGCTGTAAATTAAAGTGCAAAGGAAAACAGATGGACTTTGGTAGCAGCTAGTGCTAATCGAAACAGAAATAAGTAAATAAATAAATAAATACAGGATAAAGTAGGAAAGGAAAGGTGTTTCAACACAGAAGCCATTTATTTCAGTTTCACCTCACAGTGTGAGCTATGGCACACCTAACTTCTTTACCCCTGCTCTGTGCGGCTCACGGTGCTTTGCTCAGTGATGTTTGTGGGCTTAGATTTTTCTGCTCGTCTCATCGCTCTATTTGTTCACCTTTGCTTTGGGTATGACTACACATACGTGTTGCAATGAGGCAAGACTGGGTGGGGATTTACAGCAGGTTCGCCGCTCCATGGAAACTGCCTGTGTGCTTGCTGTGACCCTGTTCTCTTTGAGGAATAGATGTCTTCTGCATACTGCCAGGTCCAACTCCGTTCATAGGCTGCTCCTGTGCATTAGCTGACTGACAAACCACAAATCTACTCTAGCTTGTCTTGCAGTGACCTGTGCACGCTCAATCCAACACAAGGAGATTTAATGGCAGACACCTCCAGGTCACAAGGGAAGTACTGCCACCATACTGAGAAACAGGACAGCTATCTGCCTGTATAACCACCTGCTTTGAATATGCTTGCCTCCCAGCTACAAAGTAGTCTGGATATAGACTTACTCCAGTTTTTACTTCTCATGCTGGGCATTTTAAGCAGCTTTGAATGATGACAACAGATGTTCTAAATACTCTGTAGGTATAAGAGTCATGAAGATGTGTTTCCAGGGCAGTAAAGTGAGGAATGATGAGTCAGTTAGTGACCCCACCCACTGGGGCTAAGACCAAGCCCTAGAAGAAAGGTGAGGATGCCATGATGTATCAGACAGGTTGGTTTCTATAATCCTCAAAGATGCAAATAGAACACACGTTAATTACATGAGCATTTCTCTCCTGTGGTTGCACCCCGTCTAGTTTTAAGAACCTCTGAACCAACAGCTGTTTGCTTCAGACACTCTTACTTTCAGCCAAAGGTTTGCAGCTTGATGGAGTACCAAGCTGTGAGCTTCTAAGATGAGGACAGGCTTTTGAGTGCTGCCATTGCCTCTGATCTAATTTCCATCTCCAGTGTGCACAACAATTCCAGCAAAACAAACAAATACTATTACTTTTATAAACTTTCAGTATTCAAAACTATCTGGAAACAAGGCAAAAATAAACATAATAGTACTTGACTGTACATAACGCTGCTCAAAAATAAGTCAGTGTTGGTACAGTGAGCAGAAGCACGCATTGGTTTGTGAAGGTCTGGCATGTTCAGAAACATATAGTGAACAAGACACTATATATAATTTTCCAGTTTTGTCTCTTCTTATGGTCCTTTCAAGGCTTCATTCTGTGTAGACAATAGAGTCTGCAATAAAAAATAAATAAAAATAAAAATAAACATAAAAATAAAAATAAAAATAACATTATACAAATATCCTAATAGGAAGTGTCTGAGTTTACAAAAAACTTGTCACTGGAGTGCAGAACTGTTCCTGTTTGTTCATAACTTCGTCAGACCTAACCAATCATCACAGCTTTTCCAACATCGTTCATTTTGTGGGCAAACAGCAGTAGCACTGTCTTTTGTGCTTTGGCATAATACAGGGCCTATTTGCTAGGGACAAACCTTTGGTCATCCTCAGAAGAGCACGCCCAAAACTGGCCAGATTTGAAGCCTCTAAAAAAATCTCAGTTAGAGCTAGATTGCCAAATACTCCAGCGAAACCTGTCATCCTCTCCCCACTCATCTCTCCATCTGTTGACCACAGTTCATGTCACAGCCCCACCTTCAGCATTTCCTGGTGCTTCAGGAGTGACTCACAGATTCTTGCAACTTTCCCTGAAAGCAGATTTTGGCCATTTACTATGTCTGTGGAGTGTCACAAGCCCATTCACCCAAATCACGTGGTAAAGACCCAGGCTGTGTCCCATTATCACCCCAATTCCTACTGGCTTCTGAAAGAACTGGATTTATCTCCTCAGACCTGATCCACAGTTCACTGACATCAATGGAAAATCTCCCACTGGCCTCCATAGCTCTTGAAGTTTAGCTGGGAAGTGAACTAACTTTAATCTCTAAACAGGTCTGGAGATATAAATTATATAAATGATCAGATATGAAGCTGATCATGTAAGTTTGTCAAAGATGGGTTTACATGTTCCCCTGAGCCTAGTGATCAAAACATTTTTGATGCATGATAGAACCAGTAATGTGTTTGTAGCATTTAAACTGTAGCAAGTCTGAGCTATAATTATGCTTTAATAAGTGTAAACCACAACTAGCCTACACTGCACTGCTTCATAAGCATTCAGCTATTTGATAAGAAGAGGTATCTCCAACTGCTGATGAAACTGTCCTATTTGTAAGCAGTGAGCAAGACCCTACCTTGAGAGCTGTACAGTGAGGAACGTTTATTTAGGACAGACATTGAATAATGTAATGTATTTCCCACCTTCTCTCCAGACACTGACTGGGATGTCTCTGTAATTAAGGAATTTCAATACTCGTGTTGTTTTACCATTTTAACCACATGCCTGATCCACTGGCTTGGATTCTATGGAGAAGCTTCCTCAAAATAAACTGGAAAGAGACTAAAATTCATGCTGTTGAGAATGGTCTTTCATTCCCAAAGCTTTGCCGTGGAACAACATCATGGAGAGCAATTCCCTCTGTTTCTAAGATACTGAGCAATGTTGATATATATAAACAACTTCATTCTATGTGGAAAGCTGAGGAAATAAAGATAATGAAATCTGCATTCATTCTGCAAACTGGGGCAAAATCAAATGCTGTTCTACAGAAAGCAATACAGTGCACCTATCTTTTCAGTGCAGTTACAGTAGGGCTTCCTACTGCTGACAGTTGAGCGAGGATGAAATGAATCACCCGAAAAGGCCAAAATTCACTGAATTGGGCTTCCTCAGGCCACACAAATATCCTAAGTCCGTTCCATCTTCAGAGACTGAAGGTGGTGCCGTTGTACACTGACAGCAAAGACCCATCCACAGTTTGGAGGCAGTTTGGAGGCTGTGGAACTCTTCATTTTGGGGAAAAAAGAAAAAAAGAAAAAAAAAAAGGAAATGAACAACAATAAATTTAAATACAAAGTGAGGTTTACAATCAAATGGGCTTTCCTGAGCCTACTGACCCTGCCCATCTTTAAGCAGAATGACATCATCTGACAGCAACACTGTGAAAAGTCTATGCCTGAGATTTTCCAATCTTTCCAAGATTTCCCTTTGCTAATGTGATGCTGTTAATTCAAGTCTCTTAAAACTAGACCAGAAGACTGTTATTAAGCCACTCAAACCTGCAAGAAAAATCAAGAAAATTCTGGAAGAGTCTCAAGCAGGCTGTCCCAAGCCCCTGAGAACACTCTAACTGAGATCCATAGGAGACAGCTCCTCTTTGATTTCAGCAGAGCCCTTTAGACCATAGTGAATACAAAACCCAAGATGCAGCACAAACACAGCTGTGCAGAAACAGATCACGAAGACAGCTACCCTGTGCTTACTTTTCAGAACACACAAAGGTTCTAAACAGTTTCATTAACCAAGATCTGCACCTAAAAAGGAGTGGCGACATGTTTGTATTGTACAGCCAATGTAAACACAGGCAAGAGGAAGTTTCGACTGTCTTTGGAAATTTCATTGATTTCTCACAAATGCAGCACGTCATTCTGGTTTTCTCTTTCACTAAAACCACTTAGTTTCCAAGACACTGCTATACCTTCCTGAAAGATCCAGGTATTTGCTTGTTTTTAATCGAAGAAACAAATACATTAAAAAAAAATAAATCAGAAACTGTTTTTGGTATCCCTTGCCAACCTTTTGTCTTATGCTTTGACATCACTGTCACAGTTTGGAAAGCAATTCTAAAAACAGCAGCAGGCTTTCCTGCCTGACTTCCTCTCCTTTTACTCTACTGACCGTTTTGTGTTCTGTGAAGCAGACTGCATTTTTGGGATGAGGAAAGTGCATATCCTGGTGCCAGAGCAACACCTTCCAGAGCAGGCCTAAAGCACAGCGGCCTAGCATGGAGTTTACCACACTGCTTTTGAAATACATGTAAAGAAGAACCTTAAGAAAGTGTACCCTGTGTGCACTGGTGATCTAGTTGGTTTTTTTCTGTTTGGTTGTTTTTCCCGAGGGATTATCATTATTTCTGTTAAAGAGTTCAGTGTTTATGGAAAGGTATACTGAATTTGAGCAACGTCAATCCTCAACTCCTCAGCCTGCAACAGCACGACCATAGAGACTCCGAACACCCATGAGTGCTGACAATAGAGCACGACGGCCATGAGCGGAGGCAGACCCAGTGGCGGTGCGCAGACCCGAATCCCAGTGACTCGCTCTGCCGGCAGCAGGGACACCATCCCCTACCGACACCCCAGAGCCGCACAGTTTCACCCCCTCTTCCTCAGCACCGACCGCGCCTCAGGGCGCTCCCACCACCCATCCCAGCTCGTTTCCCTGCTGGGCCGCCGGAAGAGGCTATATTTGGGCCGGGGAAGGGAAGGTAGGTGAGATCGGGTCCGCCCTGCTCTCTCCAGTTTCGCCTAGGTGCGGGGGGAGGAGGAGGCGGTGGTTTAACTGCCCTCGCAGTCCGAGAGGCGGTGCCGCCGCCCCCCGCCCGTCCCAGGTGTAACCGGAGCCGGCAGGGCGCGGCGCACCACCACCTGCCCGACCTGTCGGGCGGCTCACACCGGGTCCCGCCGCGCACGCAGCGCTCGCTCTCCCCGGCCCGCTCCTCGGAAGCCTTTCCCCGGCCCCTCCGTGCCGCGAAGCCATGGAGCTGCTCCGCGGGGCCGCGCTCCTGCTGCTGCTCTGCGCCGCTGCCTGCGCTCAGGACTGTGAGTGCCCGCGTTCCTCCGCACCGCGACCCCTCGCTCCCCGCGGAGCGGCTCCTGTGGCGCCACAAAATGGCGCCCCCTCTCCGCTGGGCCGGGGGCGGCGGTGCCCGGCGGCCGCGCTTCTCTCACCCGTTGGTGGCTACGGCTGCCGCGTCGTCCTTGGAGCGGCCCGGCTTCAATGGGTGGGCGGTGGGCGGTGGGCGGGAGGGTCCTGGGGGGAGCGGTGCTTCGGGAAGGGAGCCGTCGCGCTTCAGGGACCGAGGGGCGGCTGCTCGGCCCTTCCCTCTGCCGCCTCGCCCTAAGGAGCGCCGCGCTTATGGCCGCCCGTCTCTTGCAGCGTGCACCTGCACAATGAACAAGCGCGTCACCAACTGCAGGCTGGTCGACGGCGTCTGCAACTGCAACTCCATCGGCTCCAGTGTGTCCGTCAGCTGCGAGACCCGTGAGTAAAGCCCGCTGCTTTGAACCCCCCGGCTGCGCTCAAGCGGAGATGTGAAAACGGGCGGTGAGCTCCTGGCGGAGATAACGATAGGGAGGGAAGGAAGGGCTCTCCCAGGCCTCCCACGCCAACCAGCTGGCGACGGAGCCTTTCTGATTCCGACCGTGTGACTTGTGTGGATGCTCTTTAACAGTTCATCCCAAATGGCAGGGGTGTCTCAAAGACTAATTCTTGGCTTCCTTCGAAGTAATCATCCCGACTTCCCCCTCAAACCTAGAGCTTCTGTACCAAAACCTTACTCTTAGTTTGAGGTAGCCTAGAGCTCTTCAGCGTTTGCTTTCAGATTCCCCTGCTGTGTTGATGTTGTGCACACCTACATCTTGGGTGCACTGCTCTTCCTTGTAATGGCGTCGGGTGCCGTCACGTCTGTTGTAACCTTGTGCTTTCCCAGCCTGAGTTCTGAACGCTCCTGTTGTGTAATGTGACTTTCTGCTGGTTATTTTTAGTGACTTCCAAATGCCTGTTGATGAAAGCTGAAATGGCAAACACGAAATCAGGCCGCCGTGAGAAACCCAAAGATGCGCTTCAAGATACTGATGGTCTGTACGATCCTGAATGTGAAAATAATGGTGTCTTCAAGGCAAAGCAGTGCAATGGAACCACCTGCTGGTGTGTGAACACAGCTGGTGTCAGAAGAACCGACAAGCATGACACAGACCTGAAATGCAATCAATTAGTCAGGACGATGTAAGTCTTCTCAATAGGGTGTGCTGTAACCTGAAAACCTTCCTGTGTTTGGATCAGCCTTATGGGGTTTGTCGGTATGAATAATGCCCTAGGACTGAACATGGAGCAATAAGTACTTGTCACTTTTTCCTTTGAAAATAATGGGGAAGAGGGAAGATGTTTGGTGGTATTTTTTTTTTTTCCTCTCATGGGATTAGAAACAGTAGCGCACACTTTACATGCATGTATTTTTAAGAATATTAACTGTATTTACATCCTACTTCAGGTGGATCATCATTGAAATGAAGCATGCTGAGAGAAAAACTCCTCTGAACGCAGAGACGTTAACAAAGTAAGTGATGATTGGAAGGTCTTGCGAAAATATCTGCATGTACTATCAGATATCTACTGTACTCCTAAACAACTGCGTGCTTAAAAGCATTGTCAAATGTGTGAGCTCATTTGTTTATGAGACATCTTGGATGTGACTTATGAAGGTCCTTAAAACTTCATTTGCAATGGAAATTGATCTTATTTTGGAAACTGATTGCTCCTGGTAGAGGAAGAAGTAGAATATAGGTAATAAGGAGAAACTGGCAAAAAACTAAACTGGCAAAGATGAGGGAGGAACTGTGAAGAAGAAGCAGGAGACAAAACAGGTTAGCTATATTTTTGGCTGAAGTAAAATCCTACCTTTTTGTCAAAGGTCGTAAGGCAAGAAAAGTGTTTGTAGCTGTGAAGTTTATTTTGCTTATTTTCTTGGAGGAAAAAAAAAAAATCCTACTGTATAGCTCCTCTTCCTGTGAATTCTCTGTTAGGTTGACTGTTAGGTCTTCTGCTTTTTGCCAGTACAGTAATTGTTTATTTTTCCATAAGTGCAACTTCACTTTTGGGAATCAACAGAACTCTGCTATGCTGGGTCTGGCTGTGTTGGAGTTAACTTTTTTTCAAAGCAGAAGTGACCGAAACTGTACTGATAAGCACCAGTGTTTGAGCTGTTGCTGATCAGTGCTTACATACTGTCAAGGTCTTTGTCTCTCTCTGCTGCCATGGTGAGTAGACTGGGGATGGGCAGGTGACACATCTGAGGCAGCTGACCTGGATTCACCAGAGATACCTCAGATCATAAAATGTCACACTTGGCAATAAATCGGGGTTGGGGGGGAGTGGTTCCAGAGTAGCTATTGCTTGGACACTGCCTGGGGATTTTCTTTTTTTATTTCCTCACACTGCTTCATTTAGTAAACTATCATGACCCGTAAAGGATTTTTTCTTATTACCTTGCCTTCTCTCCCATGCTGCTAGCAGGGAGAAAGTGAGTCTGGGCTGGAGCTTACCTGCCACCTACGGTCAGCTTTTCACAAACTGCAGGAGGAAAAAACATTACTAGTCTTCCTACTTTGGAAAAATAGTTGTGTATAATTGTACTTTGCTTTTTACAATGGTTATGGTTTTAATATCCTTGCAGATTTCTTAAGGATACAATTACCAGTCGTTACATGTTGGATGGACGCTACATAGCTGGTGTTACGGTAAGAAGCACATAATTTTTAGTGAATATTCATAACAAAAAGGAATGTTGATTACTTTGAAAACGTGAATGTGCTACAGTATGTTACCATAGGCTTTCAAAATAATATTGCTTACTGAGCACTAGTGAGTAGCTGTATCTGAAATTAAATATTGGAAAGTTGCATGTCTGTCTGCTTAGTCTATATATGAATTATTTTTCACTAAAACATGGAATTTGAATTATACTATGAGAACTTTGCTTGAGAAGTACCATAAAGTTGATTTAGAATGTGATCTCACAAGTTGGATCACATTTTGTAATACTTTGCTGTGTATTTAATAGTTGGATCTAAATTAGTCATTTTTTAATGGTGTGTGTTTTATTGTTGTTGTTGGTTTTTTTGTTTTTTTTTTTATATTCCAGTATGAAAATCCCTCTATTACTATTGATTTGAAGCAAAATTCCTCAGATAAATCCTCTGGGGGTGTGGATATAGCTGATGTGGCCTACTACTTTGAAAAAGATGTAAGTGTCATGGGTAAAGTTTGAAAGACTAAGTGTGTATTGCATTATGTTCAGTAGCCTTACTGTGTGCTGGCTAATGCAAGGTAAATTGTTGGAATGCCTACGTGATGTCTATTGCCAGCTGAACAAGCAAGTCTCTTTTGCTGCCTGCCCCAGGTAAAAGGTGATCCCATCTTTCTTAACGCGCTGAACATGAGTATCGATAACGAAGCACTGACTTTTGAGAACATGATGGTCTACTATGTTGATGAAGTACCACCGGAGTTTTCCATGAAGTCTCTGACTGCTGGCGTTATTGCTGTCATTGTTATCGTAGTACTTGCAGTAGTTGCTGGAATTATTGCTCTGGTAAGTTCTAAGAAGCTGCCACAATAGTAGTGAAATTTGGGAGATAATGCACCAGGGTAATGGGACTCTCAATAGGTTTTCCTTTGTAAACTATAATGCTAGATATTGTTTTTGAGACTGGGGAGTAGGGAAGAGGTGATGGGATGCACCATTATGACACAAGGGTGTTGTATGGAAAGTGAAGGGTTGGAAAAAGCATGTTTAGGTCTTCACTTAAAATTAAACTTGACAATTAACCTGTCCTTTCCTTACAGGTTGTCTCAAGAAGGAGGAAAGGGAAGTACGTGAAAGCAGAGGTAATTTTTGTTGATGCTATCTGGGGAAATTGAACAGGTTAGCTAGAATCCAAATTTGATCAGGAGTTCTGGTGTAGGTTAAAAGCTTGCATTAGGTGCTGCAGGTATTTTTAAGTATGAAGAATAAAAGAGTATAAAAGCACTGAAACTCTGTAACCGCTCTTTCATCCCTGTAGTGGACCGTGTATTTTCTGCAGTAGCTTCAGAGGCAATTGGCGATTTGCATTTCCTAGGATTTAGGCGGGTGGCAGTACTGCAGTCAAGTACCGTTTTACATATCTATAGCAAAGGCTGTGCAATCCACAGGAAGCGCTGTTAGTCCTGTTCTATTACAAACGTCATTGCTTGAGGTATTTGCATGAGCCTTGCAGTTCCCACTGAATGGAATGATGCCACTGTATGTTGCTTCAGCTCCAAGTGCAGAGTGTTTATATAGGAATCCAAATGTTGTAACTGAATAGTCAAGCTGACAGTGCTCTCTTTCCCCACTCATTCCCAGATGAAGGAAATGAATGAAATGCATAGAGGACTGAACGCATAACTGAAATCAACTGAAGACAGAGTGTGACTCAGATGAGGAAACGACAGAAAGATGGGAGGCATGGATCTTAACTCTTGGAAGATTCTTTCTGAAGGGGAGTCAGTTGTGCTCGCTTAATCGCTGTTAAAACAAAGCCTAGACCAAAACGAAGCCTAGACCGGCAGCCATGATCCTTCTTTTGTTATCTGTTGAGAGTTAAATGCCCTATTTTTACTCTAGTCCAACTATCACTCCCTGATTTTTGTAATGAGATATGCTGACAACTGCTGCTACTAGGCCTCCGGAGCATAAATGTTTAAATAGTTCTTTTAGTCCTGTGGGAAGTTTTTTAAAAATGATGATCTTTATAGCCATGTCGTAATGACAATTTGGCTCATGTACAATGAAACATGGCTTTGTTTTTATGGCAATTTGTACATATTTGAACTAGCTGTAACTTTTTTTTATGACAAAACAATAAAACTTTTGAAACGGGCTTCTTATTCTTTCATGTTGGAATGGTGATCTATGAGCTATCATACTGCTAACTTCAATAGTTCAGTACTTCCAGCAGTAGTAGCAAAGGTGAAAATATTCTAGAAACCCAAGAAACAGTTTGTATTAGTTATCTACTCTTGTAGTAACCTGATTATTTCCTTAATTTATGCTTTATTTTCAACTCCTCATGTGTAACAAGAGTAAAATAGTAATATGGATTGTTTGTAGAAAAGAAAAAATGTGCTGTAAAAACAGCTATTTGAGGAATATGTGGACTACTCCTTCAAATTGGTATGTAAGTATTTATTATAAAATGTTGAATCACTGGTAGG